TTCAGGCCCGTAGCCAGGGGGGGGGTCGAAAGAACCGCCCCTTTTGTCAGGAAAAGGTCCATTTTGGGTGAAATTTTATCTAGGTACACATAAGTTTCACTGTAAAAGCCTTAAAGGTCCAAATTTTCAGAAAAAGAACCCCCCTTTTCAATTTGCTGGCCACAGGCCTGTTAAATGTCATAGTATGACTGCAATCAACACAATCTCTGCCTAATTAACAATGTGAAAATCAGTTGAATATTTAATGCTGACCAGTTAATTGATTTTCCGACAGGTGCACGTTATTTTCTGCACATTGAAACCGCCACCTGTTCTGTGACTTCTTGTGCAAATGAAAGGCTTTATCCCTTAGTAATCTTTTTATCAATTTCACCAAATGTTTTCTCTTGTTTTCAGGACGCGGAGATTTGCCAAGTGCCCAGTGGACAACACCTGGTTTGATGCAGTGACAGATGCAAGTTATTTAGCACCATTGAGCTCTTGCAGTGATTGCATTGTTGGCTAGTTTGATGAGATATCTTTTTCAAATTAAAACTTGAGTAACTCTCTACTTCTGCTCAGCTGTACAAAAGGGTGTTTCACAAATGATCATCTAGCAATAATCAATAATTGTGAATTTGTGGTTGTCTATGCTATATGTTACAACTTTTAGTCAAAATTAGTGTCAGGACAATTTGGTTTCAAAATTGAAACAGTAGGCCTATTAGATTCCTAGGTAAATGCACCTGATTTCACCAAGTTTTAACCTTGAGTGTTCTTGAACCAACAGGATGTCTAAATACCACTTTAGTCTTCTATATTTAATTTTTTTTACATTTTAGTGACCACCTTTTGTAGGTTTCAGATCTACTTATAAGATTTTTGATTTTTTTTGTTATGGTTAATTACAGGTTTTTGATGATAATGCTGTTAGGAGAGAGGTATTGTCTCTCCGTGTGAAATGTCATAATATGGACCATGGCTGCCAGTGGGCAGAGGAACTGAGAGACTTGCAGGTATAGATCAAAAAAAAAAAAAGAAAAAAGAAAAAAGAAAGAAATAGTTTAAAAATCTGGAGTTTTGTTTACATCTTTTCAATCAATGTTATGAGGTCTTGTGTACAAAGGTTTATTAAAAATGGGTGTAATTTTAAAGTTATTATTGATGGAATCTAAATGGAATAATTTTAAATCTTATTAAATCATTAAATCTTACACATATTATAGTATTAGATAAGCACATGTCCACTTCTTACTACTATTTTGATAATAATCAGGGGCGGATTCAGAGATATTTTCTGACAGTCTTCCAAATTATCTTTGTTGATCCGTCCTCCATTTTTGACCGTCTTCCGACAGAAAAAATTATATACCCGTCAATGTAAACTTGAAAATCTGACCGTCTTCCGGAAGACCCAGAAGACGGCCTAAATCCGCCCCTGATAATGCTCACAGTGCATGTGCTATTGAAGCAGTACTCAGAATTTTGACATGTCGTTTGAATTTAAGCTAGCTGTCCAGCCTTAAGATAGGCTATCCTATGCTCAAACAGTGACGTATAGACAGTTTCCAGGAGGCATGAACATTATACGACAAAATTGAGGTCTTGACATTAAGGGTTGTGTGGTTGCATCTTTCAACCACTTCTTGCTCTCAGGCAACCAAATCTTAACCAGCAGTTGTCCATCAATGCAACTGATTCATTTTGAACATTTTTTATTTATTGTATGTTTTAAAGTGTTTTTTTTTTAAATAAGTTTGGCACCTTTTTTATAAACGTGTACAGTAGTTGCTTGTGTTGATTAGAAGATAGTTATTATATATTTTTATATATTGAATTTTCTGTAATCTCTTTTTGTGAAAAAAAAAAAAAAAAAAAAACAGTGATTCAGCAGTCTGATTAATTTATGACATTAACAAAACCATTTATAGCCTATGAAGTCAGTGCAAATTCAAAAGGATCTTTTTGGACACATCTTTGACAACAAATTACAATTGTTGAAACAATACAGGAAATCTCACTTGGATGCTCAAAGAGAGTCAAATGTTTGAAGACGAATTTTGGCGCATCAAATTACTTTGTTACTGAACTCTTTTGGAGACATCTTTAGACATAATCAGTTTCAATTACACCTAGGTAGCTCTAACAATTGAAAACACCTGCGAATTAAATTCCAATTTGTATGGGCATGTTTCCATGGAGAATGNAAACAGTGAAACCATTTCTTTGTATTTTTTTATTTTTGCTTATTTATTTATTTATTTATTTATTTATTTATTTATTTATTTATTTTAAATCTGGAATATCAGTTAGAAAATAAAAAAGTATTTCATTGCATGTTTGGTAAACAAGCTTGCAATTACCTCCTTTTTTAAAAAAATCTGGTACAGAAACCAAACCACCAGGCCTGCATAGTTGTGTTCATTAGCAACCAGGGGAAAAAGTTAATGTGTACAAACATTTGAATCACCTTTTTTCTGTTTATTGGGGACTCTTGTGTTTAATTTATTTTCTAGCAAAATGGAAATAATTAAGGGGGTATTGATCATATTGTAAACACTTCCAAGTTTTATCAAAAATTTGTGAAGTGATGAAGGGAACGTATAGATTTTATTGCTTCATACCCCCTTTACACTGGACGGCGTCCTTTCTGCATCCTTTCTGCGACCATGAAATTTGGCATCGCTGTGGTTTTAATAAAGAGACACAAGCATTGATTTTGTATCAGAATGAATGCTCAATGATCGGCCAGTTGTCGGCCGTAAAGTTTTTAAAGTTTAATGGGGCCGTACTGCTGGACGCAGAAAGGAAGCCGTCCAGTGTAGAGAGGCCCTAAGATAGAAAGACATTAATGGTTGATAAGGAAGGAGTGCTGTACTGTCTCCTTGTAAATTACTCCATATTTAGAAATACAGGCAGGGTGTTGAGAGACTGATATTTAATTTAATTTCTAGCCTTGCTGTGCAATTACGTCATGAAATAATCTTAAAAGTATTAATTGATTATTTATTTATTTATTTATTTATTTTTGCAGAGTGTAGCAAGGGTAGCTCATCCTGCTTTGGCTCTTTTCATGGAATAAAATGTTTACGGAAGGAGACCTATTTTTAAGTTGTTTTTACTCTTTTTTTTTTTTTTTTTTTTTTTTTTTTTTTTTTTTTTTTTTTTTTTTACAACAGGACCATCTGCAGAATTGTGACTATGTTTTGGTGGACTGTGAGCATAGGTGTGGATCTCAGTTTCCAAAATGTGACATAGCAAACCATTCTGAGAGCTGCCCAAAGAGACTGAAGCAGTGCCAGTACTGCAGTGAACATATAATACACACAGAGATGACGGTGAGTTATAAGTTTGAATTTTGTTACCTTGAAAGTTTATTTGTAATTTGTTTATTATGCATGTAATGAAAGTATTATGAAAATGCCTGCTGCCTCCAGACACTAAAATTGTTAGTTTTCTTTACAGATTTATTTCTAAGTGAATTTGAGTTTTCATTGTGTTAGAAATGAATCCTACCACAGTGTTAATTATATTTTCCTTGGTAATAATTATTTAACATTGTTTTAGAAATTGACCAACTTATTTGTGGCCAAGGTAGTATGTAAGATCTGCACATTATCAGAATGTTGGTTGGAATCATAAGCTCCCCTCACCCCCCCCCCTTTCCTAAAAATTAATTTTTTGTCAGAAGTCATTGTATCCAGACTAAGAATATTCAGAGCATTATTTCCTCTAAGGTGTTAATTTGACTTTTTATTGAAAAAGTTTTGAAAAAAACGGAGATGCAAGCCTATTGGCAGCTTTTTATACCTTAATTTTATACTTAATTTTGTATTTAATAAGCTACTTTTTTGCCTCTCCATCTCTGTCCAGGGGGTATCTTACATGTTTCCCTGGTGAAAACATTTACCTAATTATGGTCTGCAGTGATAATTATTTCTATAGAAGTAATGATTATAGATGTTAAATTGCCTAATTAAGACAGCTGTAGTCTTGGACATTGTTATCACCACGGTGGTATATGATTATCCCCCTGAATTATCACCACAATCATGACAATATCTAATTTGTAGTAATAATTATCGCCTTGGCCAAGGGGTTTTTGTTTTTTTGTTCCATTTGATTTGGACAAATTTTGGTGAAATTTTTATAAACTGTCGGTTGGAAACCGAGTAACAAATTGTTAGATTTTGATGGTGATCCATTGATAAATTAATGGTTAATTAGTTAATAATTTGCCGCTCTGTCCAACATTATACAAAAGTTGTGATGATGCGAAAGATTTTGATGGAATTTTCAGAAATGGAGGAGATGAACAAAGTAACAAGCGATTAGATGCTTAAAATATTGGTGGTTATCCATTTGTTAATCAATTAGTTAATTAATTAAGTCTGTTTGTCTGTTAGCAACATTATGCAAAAAAGGTATTGAGGGATTTTGATGAAATGAGCTAGATTTTGGTGATGATTAATTGCTCATTTATAAATTTATTCATTCATAATCTTAGTACATAATGATCATCTTGTGTGAAAAAGGACATAGTAAAGTTGAAATGTTTGAAAAGTATTTAACATAAAGTGTCTTTATTTCATTGTATAATCTTAAACATTTTGAGGGCTACTTAATTACTGAATAAACCAAATCACTTAAATGAAGCTGCAAGTGTGTGTGTGTGTGTGTGTGTGTGTGTGTGTGTGTGTGTGTGCACAACTCATAAATGTTTTTATCTTTTAAAATTGCTTATAAAATTAGTGCTCTCTCTAATAGAGTAGAATATTTGACATTCACTAAATATATTCATATCAGAATCAAGAATGTATAAAATACAATTGTTTTTCTTTAGATTTGTCTTTGATCTGGTTTAAAAAAAATTGTTTTCCAAAAAATGATCTGGTGGTTTGGCTAGAAGCAGATATCTCCTTGGGTGAGTCTCAGGTTAATGTAATGTACATGTTGATCTCAGTGGATAATGAAAAACTGCATGACAGTGACTTATGTCCTTTTCAGGAGATAAAATGAATGTAATTTTTTTTCTTATGCTGTTATTGAATTTCCAGAAGCATCAACTCCTTCACTGCATGCAATTCCCAGTGAACTGCACAGCTTGTGGAGAGACGGGAATATTAAGAATCAACATTGCTGACCATGTTGATGTTGTATATGGAGGTTGTCCCTACACTAAAGTGCCATGCAAGTTTCAAAGTGTTGGGTGTCATTATCAGGTGATGCCTAGAGCCCTTTTATTTCAACATGAAGAGTGCATTCCCAGAGATTTAGATTGATCCATCCAGATCGACATAACTCCCTGGGGGTTCACGTTAAATTGCAGTCAGCTGAGCGCTCACAGTAGTTAATTACCCCCTTACAGCTTTTAGTAGGCGGGACAGACACTTAAGCCGGCTAAGCTGACAGTTATCTGGTGAGACTCCTCACAGGGATAGATCGATCTAAAATCTGTGGGAATGGGGTCTAAGGCAGCTAGCTGTGATGTAGACAAAGTTTTTGTGAAACATACTACTGAACTGATGTGATTTTAAGTCTGGAAATGAAATCTTGCTGCAACTTTATAAAATTACTTTGAAGATGATTTGGCTGTGTAGGGATTCTGTAAACAAAATTCTCTTGTATTGAAAGATGAGCGCCCCACACTATCATGGAGATTTTAGTTTTTAAAAGGCCTAAGTGTAAGATGCTGCTAAGATTCCAATCTTGTAATTAGAACACATTTTCAAAACATTTTGCATCGTTTGTCATTTTGTACCAAAAGATAGAATTTTGAAATTTGGCAAGGTCGGAGAAATAAAGGAAATGAAGTTACATAAATAAGTATATATGTTGTTTTCTTGTATTATTTGTCACCAAATACATTATTTTACAAAAAAATTCCTCCATTTTAAATTGATCAATTATTTTTTATTTGCAAATTTCAATTTTTTGCCATAGGGTCCAAGAAAGAACATCTCTGAGCACTATCAGGAGGCAGTGGACTCCCATCTGGCCTTACTGTCCACTTACCTGAATCTCCAAGAAACTAGACTGCAGTTGCAAGTAGAGGAGCTGGAGGACAGCAGAGAGGCATGCAGTAGACTGGCAGATCTGGCAAAACAGCAACACAGGTGAGAAATTGCCATCTGCTGTTTTATACAGTTATATGTTGTTTCTCAATGAATGCTTTTGCCATCTAATTAATTTGTAGTCATATTTAATATTTTTTTAATTAGTAATTTGACGTCTTTGTGTGAAAACCAACTGATCATGCATGCATACACACGCACACATCCTTTATTCATACTTTTGTACAAAACTGAGCAATTGAAAATTTGCAGAGATAATAAAAATAATACATAGACTATCAGTTACACAAATTGATAAAATTTTCCAACCTTTTTAGTCCATTAAAGAAAAATTACTCATAAACAATTAAATTCATGGGAAGATGAAACAGTTTCTTTTCTCAAAAGAGAGGTTGAGGAATTTAGCCAAAGCTGTTATCACTGACTCACTTGAGTTGTTCATTATTGATGCAAATTTTGTTGGTGTTTATAATATTTAAAACTTAAGTTTCTACTTAGCGTTATTTGAGTTTTTGTAAGAGTACTGTTTTGCATACCTACAGCTTGATTAAGGTACGATTTAGTTCTTGACTATCAAGTTCTGCAGATACATATAAAATGCTTTCTCTGTACATTTTTTAGACACTGACTATATATTATATTATTTTAATATATTGATGAGCAACACATAGCTGTAGTAAGACCATTTTAATTTTGCAGTTTAAGTTCAATTTTAAATTTCATTTTATTTTTTTACCCTAATTACCTTTTTTTACTCACAGGTTGATAGAGGAGCAGCAATTAGTTGTTCGTTCACAGCTGGACCATGTCCAGTTCCTAGAGTCTACAACATTCAATGGCAAACTCCTGTGGAAGGTTCCTATTCCAGAGGACCACAGTCAGACCCTAGTCAGTCCTTCCTTCTATACAGCGTGCCCTGGTTATAAGTTCTCTGTGCAGCTGGAACTGGATGGATACCAAGATGTCGGTGAGATTTATACGTCAGTCTTTGTTATCCTGGAAGAGGGTTGTTATGACAACCAGCTAATTTTCCCTGTGGATGCCACTTGCCATATTACCATCTATAATCAACATAAGGAAAGCAGAGATCATGTGCACACCTCTATTAAGTGTAATAGTGTAACCCGGGCAAGTAGTCCAGGTGGAAGTAATGAAAACACGAAACGTGGTCGCTTGAGACTGATGAAGAAGGATGATTTGCTTAGTTCACAATTTCTTCTAGATAATGCCTTATCAGTGCTTATCAATGTTGACCTTGACTGCTGTCCTCATGCTTGCATTGCATAAGCAAAAGTCAAATTTTAATATGAACTTCATTTTAGAGATATCAGTTGCTTCAGGGTATTCATTTTCTGAAAATTGCTGGTGATGTCAAAAGGAAGTTGTATGTCATGATTGTTTATCAGCTTTGTAGTAACGTTTTCTGAGGACTTTTTTTAGCTTTACCATTTTCTCCAGTTTTAATATTTTGGGTATTAACAAGCTTTACTAAAGGTGGTGGATAGACAAATATATTTGTTAATATGAGCATATTTTCATAGATAGATTAAATAATAGTGGTGTTTGTAGTCTTTTTAAAGGTCTAAGTTCATTAACTGGTATTTGTTATAATATTATCCCTCCCTTTTTGCATTCCTTTAAGTGGGGAAAATGTATATCAATTTTTTTTTTTTACAACAGCATTGCATATTTTAGTTCTAAAGTGTATGATTGTATTTTACATTTTAACTAAAACATAGTCAAAATTACTGTTTGTTGTACATAACATGCATATTTTATCATTAAATTCCCTTTGACAGCATATATTGGGTGTTTTGTTCCAAGTGTTAATATCGTGTGCTTGACATGCTTTTGGTCTTTGTGAAATTGTTTTAAAATGTTTTCATGAAGGGTTATTTTATTATTTTTATTATTTTTTTTTTCAAGTTTTTTTTAATTTATTTTTAGAAAATGTGGAAAATGCATTGTCAAAAATATGGTTTCTTTTCACATGATATATTGCCTTAAAAGGTTTCAGGAAATCATTATCTTGAAATAAGTCATCTTTGCAAGATAATCTCATGACAGTAGTGCTGCTCTTCAACAGCCTAGGCATTCTTTAAAGTTGATATGGTCTCCAAAAAAAGTAAAAATGAAAACATTGCAATTTGAGAGTTATACCATTTTCTTTTGTCCTTCAAAAATAACTATTTTTCATTTTGTTTTTAATGTCATCAACAGTTAATTGGATTGCATTTACAAACCTAAAGGATGATTTAGTGGGGTTTTTTTTCAATGCCAAATGTCATTCTTCTCAAATTGCAGGTAAACATTTTGTTCGTGTCCTTGAATGAAATAAGGATATTGATCTTCATTGATTTACAAGCCAAGAGCATTCTAAACCTGTTTTTTCCAGTTCCTTCTGGATATTTTTTTACCTGTGTTTTTTTTTTTTTTTTTTTTTTNNAATCTTTTATGTCTCAGTATAATTTTCTTATGTCCTTAAATGTGACCAAATAAATCCAGTGAAAAAAGACAAGCTTGTAAGGTAATAAACCATCATGATATAGTTATCCTTGAAAACAAATTCACAGTGTGTTATGGAGCAATTATTTGGAATGTCTAAGTAATTGACCTTGCATGATGAAGTTGGATGAAATGCTCAGCCTTCTGCATACTGTAATTCTGTATCTATCATTTCATGCTGCAGCATGTCTGATAAGACGGGTCTCGATTTAATATAGTCTGATCACATAAAGCTATCTATATAGTTGACATTCACCTGCCAGTAAAACCATGTTTTTGTTTTATTTTAAATCTACCATCAGGCATCTGTATTTCTTCACATAACACTATACCAACTGGTATGAATTTGCATGGTGATGGTGTTGACTGTTAAATAACTAATATCAATTGTTTCTGTTCGGAAATGGCATTTACAGCCTTTATCCCTCCCTCCCTCCCTAATAAAATGCAAGTCTCTACCTTATGGATTTAAAATTGTCTTTATTCTTGAAAGTGAACTGACAAGAAGGATCAACCATTATAACAGATACCAAGAAGTAGTCTTCCAAATTGTTTTACCTTTTGTCGATTTTGTTTAAATAAAAATAAATTATAGAAAATGTATTGCTGTATGAAATCTAATTAAGGACAACAGATCTATTGAGCATTAGTCTCATTTTTATGAAAAGTGAACAAGATGTCAAAAAGTAAAATACACTTCAACATCTCCCAAAGCTACACGTCATACTAAATCTGAAAAATGGTGCTGAATGACAATTATTGCTGTAGTTCTCTGAAATACACAACCCAAATGAAAAAGAAAAAAATCTTGCAAAAAGAAAAAAAATGATTTTAAAAAAAGTGCAGAAGTCCTTTTACATTTTTCTTTGCTTCTCTAATCTAGTTCTCTAATCTAGATTTCACAACCTCTTGCCTATCATGTGATATGCATTTTTCTTCATGCATTTTGCACAAATGTGGCACTTGTGGGAATGTAAATTTCAATCTAATTTATGTCTTTAATTAAAATCAAGTCTATTTAATAATGCTAAAATCAGAATGGCATTGATCACAAGGATAGAGATTTTTTCTCTTAAAGGTCAACAAGGACTTTCTACAAGCTACTATTTTCCCAGTATTCCTGTAATTCTGGTGCTACAGATCTGGGTCTTCTTGCAAAATCTTTGTGTGTCTGACCTTTGGCCTTAGCCAACCACAGTTCTCTCTTTTCCTTTTCAGCTTCTCTTTCAAGCTTTTTGTTGTGATCCCTTGTAATTTTCCCCATGTTGGCTATTTTTTGCTCTTCCTGTTCATGAGTAAAAAGCCTAAACTCTGTATGTGTTCTCATTGGATTGTTATACTGGCTGACTTTGCCGAGAGCTGGCTCACTGCTGGACCGAATAACACTGACCTGAGCGGCAAGTTTTTGTTGTCGAACCTGCTGCAGCTGCTCCATTTTCTCTCGAAAACCAGGTGGGTACATCAGCATTGGAGTCATGGTTGCTGCAGGAGTAGATGTGGTATAACCGTGAGACTTGACTTTACCTCCTGAAGCTGTGACCTCTGATTGTAAAGTGTGCACTGTTGTGGCTGTTTTGGGTCTCAGTTTTGTGGGGGCTGTCTTTGGCCGTAAAGCTTTGTTACCAATGTCCTGGGGCAAATTTGAAGTTGAAGAACTTCGAAGCATAACTGCTGTATGTGGTCGAATCACCTGTGCCTTGGGAATGGTTGACTTTACCTTCTTAGAATGCATGCTCTTGTGTGGGCTCACATCGACAGGTTTGGAAACAAATTCCACTGCACATGCCTTTGTAGCTGGACGTGGTACAGATGTAGTTTGAGGAACGTTCTTTTTAGACAGTCTGGCTGTAGAAAATGTTTCAGCAGATGAAACAGATTCTGCAGATTTGTGAAAGCCGATGTGCTGAGGCTGCTGGAACTGCTCCCAATCCTCTAGTATTTCTTCTATGGGAATTTTGGTTCTTGGATCTATACTGGCAGGACCAGATGATGGTCGATTGAGGCGAGTTTTCCTTCCAAGCATCGAATCTTGCTGGTTCATTAGTGTATTTCTACTGATCTCTTCTCTGGATTTTTTGCTCTGATGTATGGCGTTTATTGTCATGTAAATAAAGTCGGGTGGAATGGCATTCTCCTTGGCTCTTATCTGAGATCTTAACAAGGCTTTAGTTTCTGAAAGACTGAGCTCTTTTGTCTTGGGCATCAGGGCATGCTCAAAAGCCCAGGACACTCTTCGCTTCATGTCTGTGGGGCCTGCGTCAACTTCACTGTCCTCGTAGTCAGAATTAGGCACTTTAGGATCCATAACACTGACAGAGATATGTTGCCTGGACCTCTGTGGACTAGAAGCCCCAGACCTAGATCCCAAAGACTTAGCGGACATCAGTGACTTAGGCCCAGCTTTGTGTAGACTTGGCGACATGGGTGGCTTTGCGGATGTCATTCCAGTTGTCGCCTTCTGGCTTTCTGGCCTCTGTGCCAGACGGCTTTCTCCGCGATACAGAGATTCCTCCCATAGGGAATTATAGCCAGAGTCCGGCTTAATGGTGCTCTGGGTGTCCATTGCACTCTGCATTATCTTGCCACTAAGAGGCCTGGCACTATGCTCCAACTGTGGCGCACTGGCAGCTCTTCGACCAGACAAACCTTTTTTCCCGTCAGGCTTATCATGTTGAACAATCTTTGTGTTAGTTGCCCCAGCTTTTTCCATCCTTTTTGCTCTGACGTAGGGGTAAGGCTGCTGCCTAACTGGAACATCTGAGTAACTACCATAAGTGACCAATGGAGGCATTCTATCGTTTTCTAAAGTGTAGTCCCAATCGATGTTTTCAAAGTTGAGCACAATGAGGTTGTTGACTGTGTTCAGAGTTACCCTAAAAAAGGTAAATTTATTTATGAAATGATCGATATTTTTTATTTAAATTGAAAAATCTTTCTGGATGGTGAACATACATAACAATATTGAACAATTTATTCAAACCTTTTAAAGTTGAAAACAAAAGGTGAGCAATTCCACAACAGAAACTACAAGAGTCGAGACCACGATTAAGGAACGCATGAGCTGAGAATAGTGAGAACACCATAAGGAAGGGAAACTTGGTTCAAACTTTATTTCCACCTCCCTCCCCAACAACCTCTATGATGTCTTATTTATTTTTCCCTATCATAACCTCAACATCAGTCACGCAGGGAGTTGTTTTCCTGACACCTTTAATAATTATATCAAGTCCATACCACCAAATATATGAGTGGTGCTGGTAAGTCTTTCCTTGTAAGTTCAACCTGATGGCTTGCGCTGGGTGACTCCCGTTTATGCCACACCATAAAACATAATTATCAAACATAGAAAATAATTTTTCTCAAAATTCGAGGTATGTGGGGAAAATTGCAAAAGCTCTTACCTATTCCCAATAGCGATGAGATTCAGTATAGGATCACTTCTACTATTTCCCCTCATGATACGCAGGCAATTTCCCGTCACCATGTTCCAAATACGAACTTTCCCATCTGCACATCCAGTCACAACTCTAAGGTACATGAACTCCAGACACAATACCTCACTGAAAAAAAAATTAAAGATACAAACTTCATGATCTGACACATATTTCTTTATTGCTGAGACTGTATTTTCTTTTGTACATAATTTCAAGACACCAACTTAAACAGTAAATTTATATACAACCTCTCAACACGTGCTGTATTTTCAAATGCATAATTTTTATCATAAATATATGTTATTTCCACTCACGCTGGGTGTCTCAGTGCAGTGAGACATCTGTTGTGATTCCCCTGGGCACTCCAGGCCAGTGCATAGTAATCTTTGCTGCCAGTTATTATGTGCCATCTGTCAAACTTGATAGTGGATACAGGGCCATGGTGACCATCAAGTCTCTGAAACCAAACAAAATGTTACCTTAAAGTGGGTCTTGCCAAAATGTGCACAAATTAAACATAACAAAAACATTGTTATGTATGGAGGGCATGATCTAAAGTAAAATTGGCCTCGAATGGTTAAAAAAAGTCCTCCGTAGGATCCTCTCCTACCAAAGTTGCATCGTCCATACACTTTTTGTGAATCAGAATTTGCAGGATGAATACCACTTTTAGCATAGAAATGCTAAAAAAAAAATCAAGACAGAAAAATAAATAAATAAATAAATAAATAAATAAATAAATAAAACAATAATAATAATAAAACAAAAGAAAAAACAAAGGAGACAATGCTTGTTTTTATAAAATTGATCTATAAATACCTATCATTTGATATTTATTATCTCAACTAATTTTTGCCTTAGGTATGCCTTGGTATTGGTGATTTTCAAGGGAAATAAATGTTTTGCTATATAACTAATGTAAAGGCTGTTTTAAGAATAATTCACTATAGACATAGAGTTTCATTATCATCTTGACACTGAAAAATTGAAAGAAAAAAAAAGAAGTATCTGGAAATAAACAAAATGATGTTCTATATCCTTTTTGAAAAATATGCTTAGGTTAGTAAAAAAACTTTAACATTAAGCTTCAAATGTACAGGAAAAAAATTTACACAAACAGATTATGCAAGTCTTGATAGGAAAAGTATACTTCAAGGTGGGTTTCACAGAAGCTCAAATTACCGAAATTTCCAGGAATATAAACCTTTTTCTATACAATACTCAACATTCAATGTAGCTAGACTTCCTTTATGAAATAAACAGTTACCTAACCACAGACCCTGAACTTCAGGTAGAATGTCTGCCAGCTTCTTCATTTTCAAACCTCCATCAGTCTCTGCTATGCACTTACAAGTCTGATGGAAATTTTAGATCACAAACAACTTTTCTTTCTTTTTAAACCGCATTTTGTGGTCCAGTAGAAGAGCATGTGACATAGTTGTTATTGGTGTGGTGAACTAGCTTCAACCAAATGTGACAAAATTGATCTAAAAATACCTATCATTTGATATTAATTATCTCAACTGATTTGCCTGAGGTATCCCTTGTCATTTAGTTTTAATCTTACCTTAAGCAGTTGAGCAGTTTTAATGTTCCACATTTTGACTTTCCCTCCCTCACAACCAGTGATACAGATCTCTTTTATCTCCTCAATGGACATAGCGACAGCAGATACTGGGTGGCGATGCTTGAATGTCCTGGTACATTTCCCAGAGTTTAGCATCCAGACTGTAAAAGGTAAAACATTTCCTATTATAGTCACAACAGGGACAAAAGCCCCTCAGAGAGAAATATTTCTCAATCAAATATCATGTGCCACACACCTTTATGCAACGCCAGATAACATTATTATGCACATATGTTTAAATCACTACAGTGCTAGCTACCTTTCTCAGTGTCTCTGTAACTATAAAAAATAAATATGCTTATCTGTATAAACTTCAAATATAGCAAATTATCTCCTAAATTAGTACATGTTATGCTTGAAAGCATATATATATATATATATATATATATAGAGAGAGAGAGAGAGAGAGAGAGAGAGAGAGAGAGAGGGGGGGGTTCTGCTAATCAGATAAAATATATGACAGTGACCAAATTGTGTTTGTTGAGACTATTGGAAAGCAATCACAACAGCTGTGACTGATGACAAAAAAATTCCGCAATTGAATTCTTAACTAAAAACAAAGAAATTCAATCATTTTTTTTCTTTTCTTTTTCTTTTTTTTTTTTTTTTTTTTTTTTTTTGGGGGGGGGGGAGGTCATGTTCACAGAACAACTTAGATGAAAGTGGTAACATCTTGGGGACCAATCTGCAAAATCCACTAATAAAGAGGTCTTGGACAAAATGCTTTAAAAGCACTTAAAAAAACATAATTAAATTAGGGTATTCTTTAAACTGAATATGAAACAAAAAAGTGATTTTGGCCTCTATGTATGAAAGCACATTCAACAAAGTAAACCAACCTTTAATGATACTGTAATCAAGTATTTAAAAAAAAACAGCATCAAATTAATAAAGCAGACATACTTTTACAGGATCCATCCTTGGACCCAGAGGCCAGTCTTCCCTTCACCACCAGCAGACATAGGATTGTGTCCTGATGACCACGGAATATTCTTTGACAGGCACCTGTTTCTAGAGACCAGCATCTGAAAAAGACAAAATTTGATTAAGTATCACAATCTATCACTGTTTATACAATGAACTTTACTTACAGACTTCAGCAATGAGCAGTGACCCTGACATAAGAAACTGATTGTTGAAACAAGTATAATGTCATAAATTCAGCAAAAAAAGAGAGCTGCTTGATATATAACTAAGCTTATTCTTGGATATATTTGATTGCTCAGTTTTACTCATGGGAAAAAGAATGTTCTGAATTTTTAATTATTCATGAAAATACCCCCATCTATAGTATTTAAAATGGCAAAGTTATCATGGGATGGATAAGTCAGTACCTAAGCCAAAAAAACTCACCTTATGCTTGTATCATAGCTTCCACTAAGGACGTACTGTTCTTTCTCACACAGAAACACACATCGTATGGATCCAGCATGGCCAGATATCACTGGTCCCTTCTCCTTGCCCGTTTCATTGTCCACAAAGCGAACCTTGCGATCCTTAGATCCGATCGCTATCAGTCGACTACCATCTGTGTGGATCACTCTATGGGGATCATTCCTAGAAAATAAGGGTATATTTGTCACAAGCACAAGTCAGAAAACATCAGCACTGTCTAATGAATTTAATTACAATAAGCATTTTTGCACTCAAACCTTTGTCATGCAGGCATCTTTTTTTTTTTTTTGCTAGAAATATCAAATTTATTGTAGAAAACGTTCATACTTACTGTCCACTGAGAATCATGATATTATAAGCCCCACAGTACACATTTCTTTCCTCCATGATCACATTACGGGTAGAGATTCCACTGTAAGCTGTCTGGAAACTGACTTCACTTTTAAACTGGGTCTGTATCACTTGTTCTCCCGTCTTGATGGTTGAGTGAGAGTCTGTCCCTGATAGGTTAGGCACAGCCACATCAATATCATTAGCGTAGATAGGGTTGCAACCTTGGGCAGACCCTCCCTGTGAAAATAAATGTGAAAATATGAGTTTTTATACTTTCCTATTGACAATAGTCTTTTTTTTTTTCAAATTATGTGGTTTGAACTGACCACATTCATGTGATTGACAGTGGTACAAAATGCAAATATNGTTAGGCACAGCCACATCAATATCATTAGCGTAGATAGGGTTGCAACCTTGGGCAGAACCTCCCTGTGAAAATAAATGTGAAAATATGAGTTTTTGTACTTTCCTATTGACAATAGTCTTTTTTTTTTTCAAATTATGTGGTTTGAACTGACCACATTCATGTGATTGACAGTGGTACAAAATGCAAATATGTTGCATGAAATGATGTGTATAAATGTTATATAGCGGATGACCAAATAAATCGGAAATAGATCGGAAAACTATTCAAGGACACACCTTTTTGAAATCAGAAATAAATTGTTGACACTATTTTGGGTATTGTTACATTATTTTTTATAAATTATGGTAAGCTACACTATCAGCAAGCACAGCACTGAGCAGATAAACAAAAGTGTGAAATCAATAAATATATTCCTGAAAAATGAAAAATGAAAGTCAACAATAAAATATACCCTCTGCAAGCACATATCTTACAAAACATAAAAAATTACAAAGTGATTTTAGTATAAAAACCACCACTTCTTCCAAATGATGCTCAAAACAAACATAACATACATAAATAAATATTTCAAATAAAAAATAACATGAACAGCACACCAATTCTAAAACTGAAAGGAAAAAAATAATGTTACGCTCAAGATCAATTAAAAAGACCTTTTCATATATTTTCACAACTTCGTTGTTCTTAGGATTAACAACTGGAACAGGAATGTCCACATCTCTTGCGAAGGAGGCATTATATCCAGGTGATGGCCCACCCTAAAACACCAAATTTCCAGGTTCTAACAATATTGCAATTTGTTAATACTAGTACTGCTAAGTTGTACTGACAATTTTATCTGCATAATTTAGTAAAAATAAAAATCAGTGACAAGTGCAAAATGAAAATAAAAATCTAATAAGGTACCTCTTCCATGCTATTATCACTTCAGTGATATGAGTTAATAAAATTTTTATTCTCATCATCAAGTGTAATAAAAAAATATAAAATAGCTAAAACAAACACTATCCAAAGTAATATTTAGTGACCACTTTATCCAAACTAAATTTTCAATCATAGCCTTAGGCAATGGAAATGCTAGTTGTAAGAAATAACATTTGGCAATTGTAGAGTGAAACCCAATCGTGCCTTCATAAAATACAACTAAAAAGCTGGTATTTTGACAAACTTTGACAACTGACTCAGTACATACATGAAACACGAAGGGATTAATCACTTAATTAAATGGACACACACTTAATACTGAGCCTTCTTTAAAAAGGCTGACAGGCTGTTCAGAATACAATATTTTAGAATTTGTAAAATTATATCATTTCTTTTGACCTGATAACAAAACCAAATGCCCTACAAATATTTTAAGTTCAATCAGGCATGTTGCTTTAAGTTATGAACAGTGCACAACCTTTACAAATTATCTTGATTTGTAAATAATACTTTCTGAATGGATCTGTTTTTCTATTTTTCTTGGCACGCGTTTGAGCTGGTGTTGAAAACTAAGCCAAAGCCATTATTTCATTGCAGGTGGGAATAGATTTAATCTCCACTCGATTTCCTCCATTACACTAAACAGCAAGCAAGAAATGGGCGCATTTAAAAATTAATTAACTGAAACTTATGGTTTATGTCTCCTTTTAATTAAATCCTTTATTTTTTTAGAGATCATCTCTCTTTATACTCTGCACTTTTTGAATATTGAAAAAAAAAGTCTGTGACTTTACTGAATAAAAGAGGTGCCACTGACTCTTGACACAATAGAATAAATCTTGAAAATAAATTAAGGAGTTGGACTGTTGGCTGCAAGGCAATTATCTATTACTCCAATATATGCTGGTTCAAAAGACGCCAGGGGTATCATTTGGGGGTAAATAATGTTTCACACACTATCCAATTTATTAGTTTGCAACTTCTCCACATATCACAATTATCTGACACTACGTCCCTTATCTAACCTGGTTACTTCCATAACACCTTTCATAACACACCAAGTAATCTCTTATCCATACAAAATCTTGATAAATTTGAAATATCTTATCAAATGTGTTTGCTTTAATTCATAATATAATTGATAGATAGATACCGCCCTGTAATTAAATATAACATAGGGTAGAATAAATACACATCTGCAGAATTTATTTTACTCTAAACACAAACTGAAATGGTTTTGTGAAATTTTAAAATAAATTTTTTCAATGTTTTAGAATTAAGACTAGAGCAACTTACATATTTAATCTCCATCATATATACACTCCAACAAAAAGTTAGAAAACATCATTATTTTGAATTATTATGAAATACTTAATTGAGCTATGGTAAATATTTTAATCAAATATTGATGGATAATGCACCCACCACTGATTACTTTTTTTTTATATATGCTGAAGATTTTCCGACTAAATTACATTTTTTTAATTACTGTAAAACAATTTCATGTTTCCAAACTTTTTGATCAAGTGTATTATTTTTCAAAATTCTAATATATAACATTTTCCTTCCTTATAACTGTCACAATACCAATGTTGATAAATTTGATGAAGGATTCAGATTTTCAATATAGGTAATGCATTGAGAAAGAATTCAATTCACTGCAATGAAAAATTGAGTGCAAATACATGTATTTGCTACTGTGGAAGATCAATACAACATGATTGTCCTCAGACAGAGTTAAAACAGTGGTAGAATTACTTCTGTGGTGTGCAAGGAAACCATTGCAGGTTTCTGTCAGCTCTAAATATCAATAGGTATTATATTGATTTATGCCAACACTAATGTCTAAAACATTCTAAATTTGGCAGGATGTGGTCAGCTGTCAGTAAAGTAAGTTAGTAACTTGCATTTTATTTATGTTCTGTAAAAATTGAGGATTTTATACAAAGTCAAATGGGGTAATACTGCCAACAAATTTGAATAATTTTGAAAATTCCTAAAAGTGATGCTTAATTCATGGAACCTGTAAATCCCAATACAAATATATTTCGGACAATAGAAGAAATTATGTGAAATGATACTCTAGATCTAATTTATCTAAAAAGCATATGTTAGTAAAACCATGTTTGAAGACATTGAACTATTTCAAAATTTGAAAAAAATTTTTTTTTTTTCTGCTAACCTGCATTAACATCACCTCCTCATGTAGCTGTTGATTAACCGCATGTTCACTGTGGACCTCTTCACACAGAGCTCTCCAATGCTTGCTAACCAGGAGAGCATTATACAGGGACGTCTGGTCCAACATACTGAGAATATTCTTTGACAAATGCACAGGAATACATCGAATAATATCCTTATATCTTGCCACCCCTGAGTGCGCCTTGGCAGAGGTTGGTATGACCATGCATGTGGGATCAATTGAACTGATATCGGAATTATCATCTTCATCTTCGCTTCTGTCGCTGTTGACAAGTTCTTCCTCTGTGAGATCATCCCTGAAGAGGCTGGCGGGCGTGGTGTAGCCAGGACTGGCTTTAGAGAGGAGCTCCACCTCAGGGTGATCCTCCGTGTTAAATGTGTACTCTGTGGAGGTTATGGAAGCTGCCTCAAAATAGTCATCTGGAAAATAAATAAAAGATGAAAAAGTGAACAAATAGATATCATGTGTCTCTGTTAGTAAAAGTTTTACAGGTCACTAGCTGCTGGTTTTAATAGAAAATTTTATCCATTCATCTTAGAAAACAGTCTGATCATAATCCATTTTAATACTCTTTGGCCTTTGGCATTTTATAAAGATTTTGAAGTTTATTATTATGTTTAAAACCTGATTATCAAAGTACTGTCATAAAACACTTTGTGAAGACATAATAACTGATACAGTTTGTCTTATAGTTCCTTTCTACTCTGGTCAGGTAGGAGTTTTACAGCATATCCACAACTTTATTTTCTTTAACCATCTAAACTGGAGTGTTTGTTCCCCATTGGGCAATAATATCTGAATTATTTACCTAAATTATAACAGGGCAAAATATCTACTTATACCAGCTGTTGAAGAGCTTTTTCTTTACATGGGACTTAATGTTCAATACCACTAACAGCTTTCAAAAGCCACTTAAATAAGACAGCCACTCCATGACAAGCAGTTGCTTTTAAACAATTTATTTATTTTCAATTGTGAAATGTATGCTGCTGCATAGTAGATATAGGTTGCTGATCAATACATCACATCTGTTGAAAATCAATAATATCATGATGAACATTTTGATATTCTTGATATTTTCTAGTGTGCAATAAAAGGATAGATCTTATGCCATTAAGATTTAATCTTAATGCTTTGACACCAGTGTTACTGACACAGTTAAATATTTGATGCCAAAGTAATTATTATCTGATATATTCCGTTGTAGTTGGTTTACTGGTACAGTTCAGTTTTCAATAAATATTGATGATAAACACTGCATAACAGGGAAACTAATTATTGAAATGTGAGCTTTAGAGTCCTATTTGTATCTCGGTTTGGCGACAGGTTTTCAATATTTTCATATTATACTTTTTTTTTTTTACTTTTTAATTCCTATCCTCTGCTAGTCAAATCATTTCTAAACATTAGTCATTAATCATTAATACATCTTAAAACAAATGTTAGAGGAAAAGATAATCAGAAAAGATATTTTTTTTCATTAATGTTCTAATAGCTTGTCAGCAGCCTAAATATTTAATATTCTTAAATGCATTGGTCCATTAGCCCCAGTAAAAGTGCCTGTCAAAGTTCTTATATACCAGCTTTCTTTATATGCCTGACTAAAAGTGAACTTCTATGCTGACATAATCTCTTCAGACTTCATCTAACCCAAGCACTTAAGACCAGTGCAGCTATGGTGATAAGTCTGTGTGTTTACTCAGGGGAGAAATTAAGCACTTGAGATTCAATGGAAATGGCTGGCAGCATTCAGGTTAAAATTTGTTAACCTTGTCTTGCCAGTCAACTACTCTGTTTATCTTAACATGAATTATTTGGTTTAACTTCTCATCATTATAATGATTGAGCCTTTGACATTGCAATAAATTTAAGTTTTAATATTGGTTTGTTCCATAAATTAATTTTAAAAAATCAAATTTATGAAAATTTATACATTTTTGCTTAATTAAAGAATATTTTATTAATTTACTTCCTAAGTTTACAAGAGAAATTATAATAAAACTGTTGACTATCAAAGTTGATTTCAACAGCCTTAAATTTTCAAATTATATTGCTTGCTTTTTTTAAAGAACTTTTTGAAAAAGCTTCATGCCCCTTCTTTAAAATAAAATGAGATTCCCACTTTATATTTCAGTAAGTCATCTGGCTAAAACTGTCAAATAATTCTGAGCCACTGTAATACCTGAATCTACTGTTTTTTTTTTTTGCCAGATTTTTTCTTTTAACTTGACAATTATTTACTAACAATTTTCTTAAATAAATGAGACTGTTTAAAAGAAGGAGAAAAATTACCTGCAGGTATGCTTGCTGACCTCTCTGACACCAGTAGGGTCTTTGCTTGAGTTCCTACAATGTGCAGCAAGTGAGCTTCACAGCAGTGTAATAAATTGAGCAAAAAATTTGATTTGGTCCAATATGCTGCAGATTGGTACCATGACCAAGTGGAGCTTATTTCTTGCTCCACCTGAGCCAATGTCAGAGCTCTATCTGAACTCACTGTTGTCCGATCTGTTGAAAGACTAGGGTTCACACGATTTCTTGCGTAGGTAAAATCCTTGGAATTTAACAAAGGATGGAGTAAATTGACAACTTGCTGTAGTAAATCCACACTGTGGGCTCGTCTGACTAAGCCAAGCAGAAACCTTTTTTGTGTGTTGTCTCCTGCCTTGAGAAACCATTGCTTCGTGCTGTTAGTTCTGGCAATAATTTGACATGATTCACATTTTCCACAAATCGTTGCTTTTTGATTATAGATACATCTCAGCTCATGAGCTTTGCCAAGATTAAATGTGAAATGCTCAGAGTTTTGATTTGGGTGCTTCATTTTGGGGATTTCTTCAATTCTCCTATTATCAGCCAGCATGGTTTTACCCTTGGAGTTGTAACTGCTCCAATGTCATTTACATCATTGAACAATCTTTAAGAGAAAAGATGCACCTCCTCATTGCTGGTTCTGGTAACTTAAGTTACTGCATCATTGTCCTAAAAATAGGAAACTACATGAAAAGCCCTTTTTGATAACTGAAAGGAGACTTAGGATATTAAAGGTAAAAAATCAATCTCCCTGCATACTAATATTAAATTGATTTACGTCACAATTTTGCTACATTGCACACTGTAGCTGTATTGATTCTAAGAAAAATCAAGCCACCAGACCACTGAATTACATTTCGAAAACGTTCACCTTCACAATAATATTAATTTAAATTACTGAGTAATACCTAATATTAATTACAAGAATAAAGCGATAATGAAATATTTGTCAGCAAAGTACGAATTTAACTGAAGATTTAAAAGTTGAACTACTTTGACATTTAGTTCGATAGGCTAAAACAAAGTAATAACTGGATCCAAAATATTCTTGTGGCAATTCAGTTAACTTCCGTATTTCGTAGCTCGACCAGTTAGACCAAAGGTTTATAAATACGAACTGTCATTGCGCAAATGCATTTCTGTCGAGCCTGACATGTCATTACCGACACTTCGGTAGAACTTGGCCACACTTCGCAGCCACTAAACTTCAGAGAAAAAAGTAAATGAACACGTTAAAGATATCATGCTTTAGATTAATTTTTACCATGTTCTATATAAACTCCTAAATCCGTCACTTTGGAGTCATAAATCTCTCAAATTTTGCCGAAAAATAAGCGTCTACTTACCCCATTCATGTGTTCCAGGTGAAATTAGGTCAACTGTTCCCCTGGCTACATGTAAGCTGTGTACACAAATCGGTCGTACCGACTCAGAAGTAAAAAACAACAAATTGAATTCTTATGGATTTTTGATCTAAATATGCTAGTTTTTAACGTATCTGATATTTTCTCGGGCGTTTCCGTGGTTTGAATCTAATGTCATAATAAGAAAAATAATATTTGTTTATTACGACAACCGCACTTAGGCAAACGAGCACCTGTCAGCTAGTGGCTCCCTCTAACGACTCATATAAACTTCTCTTCTTAGTGTGTCCATCTTAAAATACGGATCCCATGCTTTGAACGTGATGTTTCACGTCTTATAAAATGAAGCAAATGAAAATATTTCGAAAAAAATAATAATAAATAAAAATATTGGAAATAGGTACATATAATTGGGATGTAAAGCAAAAAATTAACTTAGTCTATAGAAAACATGTAGAAGTTTACCCTTTCAACTGTAATGCATAAAACTGTTTACAATATAAACATTCAAGAAAACCATGGGTTGAGGTTTCAAATTTCTTAAAATTGACAATTGTCTAAAATACACAAAAACAAACTTAATTGTTTTATTTCCATTTATTTCAGTTTCACTTCCTCAAAATATCTGATCTTGGTATATATGCTATCTTGTAGTACAAGTAGTAGTTACACCTTGAAATCTGATTCTACAATAGGAATGAGCAGCCTACGCTACAATACTAATTCAAAACTCTTTAAAATATCCTTTTTTCCATGCAATTGCTTTCAGAGAAATCAGTTCAAGGTGCAGACTTTCAAATACAAAAGGGATATTTTACCAAAACTAATGAAATCAAATTACTTTACTCATGTAAATGAAAATATTTTTCACTGTTTCACTTATGCCCATTGCTTGTTCACTGCAGAATACATCTCTAGGCAAATACATCTTCATACTGAATGAATAAAAAATAACTTGGCACATTTGAAATTCTTTCAACAGAAAGTTCTTTTTAAAGGATTGAAAAACTTACAGACAGGGTACTTGGATCTTAATGTCCATCTCTTATATTTTATTGTTCTATTTTCCTGACTAAAAATTAGATATTTCAAACATTTATTCTTCCATTTGAACAATTGAGCATAAAAACTGGATACATTGGTGCTTATTCAAAAATGCATGTGGACCATGTATCACAATTTGCCTGCTGAACATGTTAACTTAACAGATACTAAAAGAGAAATAACATTGAAAAATCTAGAGAGGTTACTGAATTTCAACTGGCTTAATCTTAAGAGAATAAGGTCGAGACGAAAGACTTTGCATCAAACTTACAATTTTTTTACATTTCTTTAAATGTAGGAATATACATAATAATGTAATACTTAGAGTGACAGATTACATCAGTACTAAGAACTNCCCTGGGCAGACCCTCCCTGTGAAAATAAATGTGAAAATATGAGTTTTTATACTTTCCTATTGACAATAGTCTTTTTTTTTTTCAAATTATGTGGTTTGAACTGACCACATTCATGTGATTGACAGTGGTACAAAATGCAAATATGTTACATGAAATGATATGTATAAATGTTAAATAGTGGATGACCAAATAAAACGGAAATAGATCCAAAAACTATTCAAGGACACACCTTTTTGAAATCATAAATAAATTGTTCACACTATTTTGGGTATTGTTACATTATTTTATAAATTATGGTAAGCTACACTATCAGCAAGCGCAGCACTGAGCAGATAAACAAAAGTGTGAAATCAATAAATATATTCCTGAAAAATGAAAAATGAAAGTCAACAATAAAATATACCCTCTGCAAGCACACATGATACAAAACATAAAAAATTACAAATTGATTTCAGTATAATAACCACCACTTCTTCCAAATGATGCTCAAAACAAACTTAACATACATAAATAAATATTTCAAATAAAAAAAAATAACATGAATAGCACACCAATTCTAAAACTGAAAGGAAAAAAATTATATGATGCTCAAGATCAATTAAAGACCTTTTCATATATTTTCACAACTTCGTTGTTCTTAGGATTAACAACTGGAACAGGAATGTCCACATCTCTTGCGAAGGAGGCATTATATCCAGGTGATGGTCCACCCTAAAACACCAAATTTCCAGGATCTAACAATATTGCAATTTGTTAATACTAGTACTGCTAAGTTGTACTGACAATTTTATCTGCATAATTTAGTAAAAATAAAAATCGGTGACAAGTGCGAAATGAAAATGAAAATCTAATAAGGTAACTCTTCCATGCTATCATCACTTCAGTGATATGAGTTAATAAAATTTTATTCTCATCATCAAGTGTAATAAAAAATATAAAATAACTAAAACAAACACTATCCTAAGTAATATTTTGTGACCACTTTATCCAAACTAAATTTTCAATCGTAGCCTTAGGCAATGGAAATGCAAGTTGTAAGAAATAACATTTGACAATTGTAGTGTGAAACCCAATCGTGTCTTCATAAAATACAACTAAAAAGCTGGTATTTTGACAAACTTTGACAACCGACTCAGTACATACATGAAACATGAAGGGATTAATCACTTAATTAAATGGACACACACTTAATACTGAGCCTTCTTTAAAAAGGCTGACAGGCTGTTCAGAATACAACATTTTAGAATTTGTAAAATTATATCATTTCTTTTGACCTGATAACAAAACCAAATGCCCTACAAATATTTTCAGTTCAATCAGGCATGTTGCTTTAAGTTATGAACAGTGCACAACCTTTACAAATTATCCTGATTTACAAATAATACTTTCTGAAAGGATCTGTTTTTCTATTTTTCTTGGCACGCGTTTGATCTGGTGTTGAAAACTAAGCCAAAGCCATTATTTCATTGCAGGTGGGAATAGATTTAATCTCCACTCAATTTCCTCCATTACACTAATCAGCAAGCAAGAAATGGGCACATTTAAAAATTAATTAACTGAAACTTATGGTTTATGTCTCCTTTTAATTCAATCCTTTATTTTTTTAGAGATCATCTCTCTTTATACTCTGCACATTTTGAATATTGAAATAAATAAGTCTGTGTACTGAATAAAAGAGGTGCCTCTGACTCTTGAAACAACAGAATATATCTTGAAAATAATTTAAGGAGTTGGACTGTTGGCTGCAAGGCAATTACCTATTACTCCAATATATGCTGGTTCAAAAGACGCCAGGGGTATCATTTGGGGGTAAATAATGTTTCACTCACTATCCAATTTATTAGTTTGCAACTTCTCCACATATATCATGATTATCTGACACTACGTCCCTTATCTAACCTGGTTACTTCCATAACACCTTTCATAACGCACCAAGTAATCTCTTATCCATACAAAATCTTGATAAATTTGAAATATCTTATCAAATGTGTTTGCTTTAATTCATAATATAATTGATAGATAGATACCGCCCTGTAATTAAATATAACATAGGGTAGAATAAATACACATCTGCAGAATTTATTTTACTCTAAACACAAACTGAAAATGGTTTTGTGAAATTTTAAAATAAATTTTTTCAATGTTTTAGAATTAAGACTAGAGCAACTTACATATTTAATCTCCATCATATATACACTCCAACAAAAAGTTAGAAAACATCATTATTTTGAATTATTATGAAATACTCACTTGAGCTATGGTAAATATATTTTAATCAAATATTGATGGATAATACACCCACCACTGATTACTTTTTTTATATATGCTGAAGATTTTCCGTCTAAATTACATTTTTTTTAATTACTGTAAAACAATTTCATGTTTCCAAACCTTTTGGTCAAGTGTATTATTTTTCAAAATTTTAATATATAACATTCTCCCTCCTTATAACTGTGACAATACCAATGGTGATAAATTTGATGAAAGATTCAGATTTTCAATACAGGTAATGCACTGAGAAAGAATTCAATTCACTGCAATGAAAAATTGAGTGCAAATACATGTATTTGCTACTGTGGAAGATAAATACAACAGGATTATCCTCAGACAGAGTTGAAACAGTGGTAGAATTACTTCTGTGGTGAGCAAAGAAACCATTGCAGGTTTCTGTCAGCTCTAAGTATCAATAGGTATTATATTGATTTATGCCAACACCAATGTCTAAAACATTCTAAAATTGGCAGGATGTGGTCAGCTGTCAGTTAAGTAAGTTAGTAACTTGCATTTATGTTCTGTGAAAATTGAGGATTTTATACAAAGTCAAATGGGGTAATACGGCCAACAAATTTGCATAATTTTGAAAATTCTTAAAAGTGATGCTTAATTCATGGAATCTGTATATCCCAATACAAAAACATTTCGGACAATGGAAGAAATTATGTAAAATGATACTCAAGATCTAATTTATCTAAAAAAGCATTTGTTAGTAAAACCATGTTTGAAGACATTGAACTATTTCAAAAAAAAAAAAAAAAATTTTTTTTCTGCTCACCTGCATTAACATAACCTCCTCATGTAGCTGTTGATTAACTGCATGTTCACTGTGGACCTCCTCACACAGAGCTCTCCAATGCTTGCTAACCAGGAGAGCATTATACAGGGACGTCTGGTCCAACATACTGAGAATATTCTTTGACAAATGCACAGGAATACATCGAATAATATCCTTATATCTTGCCACCCCTGAGTGCGCCTTGGCAGAGGTTGGTATGACCATGCATGTGGGATCAATTGAACTGATTTCGGAATTATCATCTTCATCTTCGCTTCTGTCGCTGTTGACAAGTTCTTCCTCTGTGAGATCATCCCTGAAGAGGCTGGCGGGCGTGGTGTAGCCAGGACTGGCTTTAGAGAGGAGCTCCACTTCAGGGTGATCCTCCGTGTTAAATGTGTACTCTGTGGAGGCTATGGAAGCTGCCTCAAAATAGTCATCTGGAAAATAAATAAAAGATGAAAAAGTGAACAAATAGATATCATGTGTCTCTGTTAGTAAAAGTTTTACAGGTCACTAGCTGCTGGTTTTAATAGAAAATTTTATCCATTCATCTTAGAAAACAGTCTGATCATAATCCATTTTAATACTATTTGGCCTTTGGCACTTTTAAAAAATTGTTAAGTTTTTATTATGTTTAAAACCTGATTATTACACTACTGTCATAAAACACTTTGTGAAGACATTAATGATTTGACATTAATACAGTTTGTTTTATAGTTCCTTTCCACTCTGGTCAGGTAGGAGTTTTACAGCATATCCACAACTTTATTTTCTTTAACCATCTAAACTGGAGTGTTTGTTCCCCATCCGGCAATAATATCTGAATTATTTACCTAAATTATAACAGGGCAAAATATCTACTTATACCAGCTGTTGAAGAGCTTTTTCTTTACATGGGACTTAATGTTCAATACCACTAACAGCTTTCAAAAGCCACTTAAATAAGACAGCCACTCCATGACAAGCAGTTGCTTTTAAACAATTTATTTATTTTCAATTGTGAAATGTATGCTGCTGCATAGTAGATATAGGTTGCTGATCAATACATCACATCTGTTGAAAATCAATAATATCATGATGAACATTTTGATATTCTTGATATTTTCTAGTGTGAAATAAAAGGATAATCTAATGCCATTAAGGTTCAATCTTAATGCTTTTACACCGGTGTTACTGACACAGTTAAATATTTGAGGCAAAAGTAATTATCATCTGATATATTCTGTTGTAGTTGTTTTAACCGTTTTAGTTCAGTTTTCAATAAATATTGATGATAAACACTGCATAACAGGGAAACTTATTATTGAAGTGTGAGCTTTAGAGTCCTATTTGTATCTCGGTTTGGCGACAGGTTTTCAATATTTTCATATTATACTTTTTTTTTTACTTTTTATTTCCTATCCTCTGCTAGTCAAATCATTTCCAAACATTAGTCATTAATCATTAATACATCTTAAAACAAATGTTAGAGGAAAAGATAATCATTTTTTTCATTAATGTTCTAATCGCTTGTCAGCAGCCTCAATATTTAATATTCTTAAATGCATTGGTCCATTAGCCCCAGAAAAAGTGCCTGTCAAAGTTCTTATATACCAGCTTTCTTTATATGCCAGACTAAAAGTGAACTTCTATGCTGACATAATCTCTTCAGACTTCATCTAACCCAAGCACTTAAGACCAGTGCAGCTATGGTGATAAGTCTGTGTGTTTACTCAGGGGAGAAATTAAGCACTTGAGATTCAATGGAAATGGCTGGCAGCATTCAGGTTAAAATTTGTTAACCTTGTCTTGCCAGTCAACTACTCTGTTTATCTTAACATGAATTATTTGGTTTAACTTCTCATCATTGTAATGATTGAGCGTTTGAGATTGCAATAAATTTAAGTTTTAATATTGGTTTGTTCCATAAATTAATTTTAAAAAATCAAATTTATGAAAATACATTAATTTAAGAAACCTTTTATTAATTTACTCCCTGAGATTACAAGAGAAATTATATTATAATAAAACTGTTGACCATCAAAGTTATTTTCAACAGCCTTAAATTTTCAAAGTATATTGCTTGCTTTTTTTAAAGAACTTTTTGAAAAAGCTTCATGCCCCTTCTTTAAAATAAAATGAGACTTCCACTTTTTATTTCAGTAAGTTAATTGGCTAAAACTGTCAAATAATTCTGAGCCACTGTAATACCTGAATCTACTGTTTTTTTGNTTTTTTATCCTGCATGTATAAATTACAAGCGATTTGAATATATATAATTTATAGATGAATTTTGTCTTTTCTCCTCATTAAACACTTAAATAACAAAATGTTAGAAACATACTTTTATAACAAAGCTGAACTGTTTAAAACCAGAAAGGAAAATGCATGCTAGCTATGCTTGAAATGCATATTAGCTTTTATTCACTCTCCTTAGCACATTCATGACAACAGCATTTGGAAACTACAATACAAATGTATTCAAAAGTCAGTTCCACTACACTATACTATACCTGCAGTGCAGAATTGGCTAAAAGTATAAATATGGTTAATATTTCACAAGGTAATGAGGAATTCCATGAATCTTCTCACTGCTTTCAAAGTTTGAACCAACCAGTTCTGGTAAATTGTGACTTTTTTTCTAACTTTTTTCTAAACACCCACATAATCCTTTAGGGATGGTAAAACCCCCAAATCTGGCTGTGAGACTTGCAATCTTAACCTGCACAATACATCTATGCCAAGCCACGCTCCTTGAGTCTCTACTGTAAATACACTTGCAAGTGTTGTGCAGTCTGGAACAGCACCTTGATTCCTGGCATGAAAGCACTGATTTCAGAGAAGTTGGACTCACTGACCACCCTAGTATGTATAGCCAGGCCAGATGGGTAGTCAAACTGTTGAATAGCCTGAATCATTTGGTGGAGACCCAGTATTATGTGATCTGATAACTGAAAGCAAGAGAAAATATCATAACAAGAAAGTAATTAAAACATTTGAAAATATGTCCACTTGTAAGATTAACATAATCTAAATTAAATTTAATCTAAAATTTACAAAAAGTTGAAATGTGATACATTCCTGATTTAAGTGCCATTTTCTAATGGTCCTATATTACTTATTAACACTTACTGCATTAGCTCTTAATTTATCATAGAGTGCTTCCAGCTTCCTTTGCACATCTTCAAGTTTTCTTTTCATTTGCTGTAAAATAAATAAAGATCAACTAAATGTTTTACAAGATAAGGTCTTCTTACAAGGCAATATTTTTATTCCCAGAGAAATGGTGCTCACAGATGGTCAGCAAATCTAGGTGACTATAATTATTCATTTTATTCAATAAAATATTGGCAATCTAGCAGAAAAGTACTAAAACAGTGAGATCAAGAAAAACTGATTTTCTCACAAGAAAATATCACTGGAAATTCTGTCAAACCAAATGAAAATCTATTCTCTGTTTAATTTGTATATATAATGACAACTTACTGGATTTGTAGCTCTGTTTAAGCATCTGTTATTGAGGTCATTAAAAATATCCTGTAAAACCTGATGCTCAGCAGGTATTGGACCCTTCTCTATTGGCTGGGAGGGTGTAGGAGCAGGGGCAGCCATAGTTTGCTGGTAAGAAAAATACAAAATATCAGTCAGGACTCGTAAAGTTTTCAACCATCTCAACAATATACTGCACCACATAAAAATGCCACATCAAGCTTTAATACAACTACATATAACAAATACAACTGTAATATAGCTGACAAACGAGTGAACACTGACCAGATGCTTTATTCTGAGCAATGTGGCCATTTGATAGCATTTTTTTCCCTATGAAGTCTTACCTGTGGTGGTTGAGGGGGTGGTTGGTGTTCTTGTGGGTTATAAAACCCTCCTGCAGGGAACTGTCCGGTTGGCGGGGCCTGCTCCGGCTGCTTGGCCGCGTGCTCTGCTGGGTTGTACAGATTACTGGGGATTGGGGCTGGGGCAGAGGCCTGGTCACCACTCTTTTTTCTACCAGACTGGACGATAATGCAGTATTAGTTATAATGGGATATCATTGAATTATAATGAATATCATTGTCTTCCACTTTGTATATATGGTTGCCGATAAATTGGGGATTTTTGTATGAAAAGGCACCCTAAACTTAATTTCACAAGAGGATATTGATACAATGTGGATTTTTGTTTAAAAGGTATCCTAAATTTACCCCACTGTTTGGAAAAAAATCTAGAAGCTGTGGAGCCTTACCTTGCCACTTAATACAGGAGGATCATTCCAACCAGATTCTGGCCGCATTTCTTGGTAAGATGGTAGATGTGGAACTTGGACAGCTACAAGAAAAAAAAATATTTAAAAAATGATTTAAAATATAGTGTGATGCTATTTTGTTCTTCCTTCTTTTACGGTTATATCATTCAAAATAGGAGGTAAATATTTGTTAATTCATTTCTGTTATAATCACTGTGTAAGGATGATGTAACTCATACACCAAGAACAATTGTTGATGGTTAGAGATTGCCATGTTCTGAAAATGTTTTCTAACATAAACTTAAGATATTTTCACAATAAATTTTTACCTGGAGGTGGCGGCTGGTATGTGCTTGATGGTTGTTCTCCTGGGAAGCCACTGGAAATTTGGAAAAATATTCAGTGTACATGTCTATATATCAAATCTGAAATACATTTATGAACAAGAAATTTTAAAATAACTTTAAACCAATCTTAATTTACACAGAAACAATGGGAAAGCACATGAAAATGCAACACTTGTACAAAAGGACCTTCCTTGCTGAAATATTTAAGCTCAAGGGATTTATTAACAGTCTCAAAATGCACACTTAGTGGAATATCTGAGATTTTGTCTAACCTATTTGTTTAAAGTTCATACCCATAATTATATGCTGGTTGCCCATATGCCATGTGGCCAGGATTTGGTTCTGGCTGCATATAAGTTGGTGCCGTGGGTTCCACATAGGGCTGCTGGGTTGGATACCTCTGAGACAGAGGACCTGCTAACCAGACAATAGGACACCAGTAATAAATAAGTTTAATATGTCTCAATATAAGCAAGCTATGGATGAAAATCATAATAAAAGGAGAAATAGCAGATTTTTTAAAAACTTCTGTTACATCACTCTGATTAAATTATTTTTCCTTAAAAAAAATCAAAATATTTGCATTGTTTTATTCAGCATTATGATCAGACATACACATTTCTCTTTAAGTTGCACAGTCTCAGTAAAACCTTTACTATCATTCCTTATCAACACCCAAACTAATAATACAATTATCCTTAAACATTTTATTTTTTGGGGAAAAAAACATAACCTCACCTCTGGTTCCTGGCTGTACCCCTGTGGTAGGGGGTGTGAGGGGAGGTGCCTGGGACACTGTGTACGGTTCACTATAGGTGGGCTGGGTGGGTAAGGGTCCGTTCATCCCCCTGGAGTACTGGGTCTGCCCTGATCCATAGTCATTGTAATAACCTGTGCTGGGAGTGGTCACTGTCTGGAACATGCCCCTGGCTGTAGCCTGGACGGCGAAATAATAAGGTTCAGAATACATGCATTATATCAAAAAAGAAAATTATTTTTGTTTTTCTACCCCAGGTACTTTTTTCTTGGCAATTCATAGCAAAATGAAAAATTTAGATTATTCCTTGCCATATAATTATTTAAAAAACAAAAGGCAAAAATTCTATTTCCCACAATACCTGTTGACCCATGCTTGGCTGCTGTGGCTGTTGTGGCTGTTGAACAGGCCGAGACCTGGGAGGATGGACTTCAATCTTCTTGAATGGGAAAGGTGGCTGTGCCATGCCTGGGATAGCCTGACCTAGGGCCCTGTACAGTCTGTCCCGTAAGATCAGGTGGGGAATCTAAACAAAAAATATATATTAGAAACTCATTGTTAAGGTCAAAAAATAGTTTGTTTAAATTCCACGAATGTTCAGGAACTTAGGTTCTTTATGTCTACAAACTTAATTTGAAGAGTAGTACATCTGTTTATTTAGCAATGTTATGTCAGTGACAATCTTCAATCATCATCTCAAAATCTTTGAAACGTGAAATCTTCCGAACATTATCATTTAAAATTTTTATTATCTCAAAGAAAAATAAACCCTGCATGACTAATGCCAAAACATTACCTCGTTTGAATTTCCTAAGTAGCCTAAAGCAGTAGCAAAACTGCCCTGGGCTGCTAGAATCTCTGCATAAAGGCTTAATTTCTCTGTTAAAACCCCACTGCGGACCTCTGGAGGTTGACCTTGGATGTTTTCTACAGCTTTCCTCAATACCATCACTTTTTCAACAAGGTCCTGTAACAACAAGTTTCATCAATCACAATTTCATTTCAGTGTAGAATAAATTATCTGAACATCTTTTTATATACATTTGACAATTTCAAAGAAAATAATCCAGTTAATATTTTTATTCAACCTTTCAAAATCATTCTTGGTCAACTACAAGCAATGATTAAACTTGAAGGTACATACATCATCAGAAGCAAAAGTCTCTGTGGTTATTAAAGTCTTATCTAGTCCAGAAATGTTTCATTTTAAAGAAGTTATAAAGAAATGACAAATACACACTTTCACAGACCTACATACGTTTATTACCAAGATAGGTTAACTGTATTTCAAAAATGAAATGTTAATATATATATATTTACCTGAAGTCCCTGTGGAGAATTGGAGTTGTGTGTCTGTTTAACCCAGCATTCTACTAGATAGTCTATATTGCCAGAACATATGTAACATAAGATGGCATAGGCAGACAACTTCCCATGCTGCTCATTTTCTAGTCTAATACCAAGAGTATCTGAAATACAGTAAAACAATCAGCAATAAAAATATATTAGTTTAAAACTGTGGACTAAAAATTACAATTTTATTATTTAAAAAAACTGCAATATGCAATATAAACAAATAAATAAAAAATCTCCTCATAGTAGATACTTAAATAGTTTTCAGATGACAGAATCAAATGGAAGGAAAAAATTGAGTTTAAAAGCCTGACTTGCCAAGTAGGAAAATGACTGTAAATCCTGCAAACTTAGGCTCTATTCCCATAGATTTTAGATCTATCTATCCCGCGGGGAGTCTCACTAGATTTCTTTCAGATAATCCGACTTAAATGTCCGTCCCGCCTACTACAAGCTGTAAGAGGGTAATTAACTTTCGTGTCCGCCCGGCTAACAGCTATTTAGCGTGAACCCCCAGGGATTTAGGTCGATCTAAAGTAGGTCGATCTAATCTATGGAAATGGGGTGTTAAATTTAACTTACCACAAAGAAGAGGGAGTTCATCCTGTTTAGCATAAGTTAATATCACTGCTAAAGCTTCTTTCCAGTTATTAAGTTCACAAGTCTCCACTATATGAGTCCAGTCTCGATTCACTACTGATGAGATTAACTAAAAGAAAAAAAAGGCAAAATGAAAAAATCATTTCCTCAAAATCTCTATAATACCTTTTTACTGGATGTATAATATTTAAAACTTATCCTGAGCTCTTTATCATACCAAATAAGTTTTAGGAAATTTGTTAAGAGACAGTAAAAAGAGTGAATAATTTCTACAAAAATGTTGTCTCATAAGCAAAAACACATTTATATTGTTACCAAATTATTCTTGTTTACAGAAAATTTTTATCTTTATATATCCCATTCTTTGTTCCACAATTCAGCACACTTCACAGATACGTAAATTCCTACATAAAAAATAAAGAAGAATATTTGGTGCTTTATCAATTTAAACCTTACCCTAGACAAATTGCCTCTATTTTTATGAAAGAACTTCTTCTGTGTCCTAGCCAGCAGCTCGGGGCCACCACAAATGGCAAGCAAGATGGCTTCTGCCATGCGGTCGTCATGGAGACACATTTCTACTGCAGCCTCAAAGTTCCCTGTGATTACAGACTGGCTAATCAGGCCATCCACATCTGAAGAAAAGAGTTCAAGTATATGTCACTTATGAGTGACGGCATATCAAACCTTCCTATGAAAAAGATATTGGTCTGTCATTCTCAGTTGTATAAACTTTCATTTTATGTTGTGATTTAAATGTAACTTTTTCCACATAAATAATGATAAAACAAGACATTTTATCTCACAAATGCTCTCTCTCTCTCTCTCATATCTCTGTTTAGGATAAAAAGGTGAAGGTGCCTAGTAACTCACCATCATCAGAGGGTACAGTAAATGGAGACTGGGGCCTGGAATCATGCTCATGTGCTGCTATCTGCTCAAACAGAGAACTGTCAGACTCAACCTTGGGCAGATTCTGAAATAAACATTTTATCGTCATAATGCCCGGTGTTAAGATACATATCCCCATATCTTTATTTTGAGCAATGGCTAAATAGTGCTTACCAGACCTCATCAAAGATATAATTTCAATTCTGGTACTGGTAATGCTACACCAGATGAAAAAAAATGCATGGCTGATCATGATTAAATGTACTACAATTCAACATTTACTAAAATGCAGTAAGAAAATAACTTAATTAGAAACAAAACAATCTTTGGAAAAAACAATCATGTTCACTTACATAGTTCACTTACAGAGTTACATATTTTAAGTAAATGACTTTGACTGAATTACCTCTGCTTCCACATTAGGAGAATTTGACCCATTGGCAGTAACACCCTCCCCAGCGTCCTGTGCAAAAGGAATGATTACTAAGCAAACAGGTGCAAACAAAGCTGAATGATGTGTATTGGTAGGAAACCAAGGGAGAAACCCCAAAGGTAAATCACTGAAATCCTGTTATCAACATTGTTACACACCAAAGGCTCATTCCAGCATCAACATTAAGTTTTGTATAACTCTTTACTGTTATTTTAACAAAAGAAAGTGATAAAACGTTTTCTTCAAACTTGTTTCGATTTGGTTAATAATATCTGCCAAATCAATAAGATAAAAAAAAGAGAAAAATAAGGAACAGTTCCAGCCACTGGCAAAAATGAAAAAAAAAAAAATGCTAGCATGAGCCAACACACTATGACACAAATGAACATCATTATGTTTAGATTAGGAATCAAAGGTTACAGAGANTTTTTATCCTGCATGTATAAATTACAAGCGATTTGAATATATATAATTTATAGATGAATTTTGTCTTTTCTCCTCATTAAACACTTAAATAACGAAATGTTAGAAACATACTTTTATAACAAAGCTGAACTGTTTAAAACCAGAAAGGAAAATGCATGCTAGCTATGCTTGAAATGCATATTAGCTTTTATTCACTCTCCTTAGCACATTCATGACAACAGCATTTGGAAACTACAATACAAATGTATTCAAAAGTCAGTTCCACTACACTATACTATACCTGCAGTGCAGAATTGGCTAAAAGTATAAATATGGTTAATATTTCACAAGGTAATGAGGAATTCCATGAATCTTCTCACTGCTTTCAAAGTTTAAACCAATCAGTTCTGGTAAATTGTGACTTTTTTCTAACTTTTTTTCTAAACATCCACATAATCCTTTAGGGATGGTAAAAACCCCAAATCTGGCTGTGAGACTTGAAATCCTAACCTGCACAATACATCTATGCTGAGCCACGCTCCTTGAGTCTCTACTGTAAATACACTTGCAAGTGTTGTGCAGTCTGGAACAGCACCTTGATTCCTGGCATGAAAGCACTGATTTCAGAGAAGTTGGACTCACTGACCACCCTTGTATGTATAGCCAGACCAGATGGGTAGTCAAACTGTTGAATAGCCTGAATCATTTGGTGGAGACCCAGTATTATGTGATCTGATAACTGAAAGCAAGAGAAAATATCATTACAAGAAAGTAATTAAAACATTTGAAAATATGTCCACTTGTAAGATTAACATAATCTAAATTAAATTTGATCTAAAATTTACAAAAAGTTGAAATGTGATACATTCCTTGATTTAAGTGCCATTTTCTAATGAGGACCAGAAACATTTCAATGGGAAAAAACTAATTTATATATTACTTATTAACACTTACTGCATTAGCTCTTAATTTATCATAGAGTGCTTCCAGCTTCCTTTGCACATCTTCAAGTTTTCTTTTCATTTGCTGTAAAATAAACAAAATTCAACTAAATGTTTTTCAAGATAAGGTCTTCTTACAAGGCAATATTTTTATTCCCAGAGAAATGGTGCTCACAGATGGTTAGCAAATCTAGGTGACTATTATTATTCATTTTATTCAATAAAATATTGGCAATCTAACAGAAAAGTACTAAAACAGTGAGATCAAGAAAAACTGATTTTCTCACAAAAAAAATATCACTGGAAATTCTGTCAAACCAAAGGAAAATCCATTCTCTGTTTAATTTGTATATATAATGACAACTTACTGGATTTGTAGCTCTGTTTAAGCATCTGTTATTGAGGTCATTAAAAATATCCTGTAAAACCTGATGCTCAGCAGGTATTGGACCCTTCTCTATTGGCTGGGAGGGTGTAGGAGCAGGGGCAGCCATAGTTTGCTGGTAAGAAAAATACAAAATATCAGTCAGGACCCGTAAGGTTTTCAACCATCTCAACAATATACTGCACCATATAAAAATACCAAATCAAGCTATAATACAACTATAACAAATACAAAGCTGACAAACGAGTGAACACTGACCAGATGCTTTATTCTGAGCAATATGGCCATTCGACAGCATTTTTTCCCTATGAAGTCTTACCTGTGGTGGTTGAGGGGGTGGCTGGTGGTCCTGTGGGTTATAAAACCCTCCTGCAGGGAACTGTCCGGTTGGCGGGGCCTGCTCCGGCTGCTTGGCCGCGTGCTCTGCTGGGTTGTACAGATTACTGGGGATTGGGGCTGGGGCAGAGGCCTGGTCACCACTCTTTTTTCTACCAGACTGGACGATAATGCAATATTAGTTATAATGGGATATCATTGAATTATAACGAATATCATTTTCTTCCACTTTGTATATATGGTTGTCGATAAATTGGGGATTTTTGTATGAAAAGACACCCTAAACTTAATTTCACATGTGGATATTGATACAATTTGGATTTTTGTTTAAAAGGTATCCTAAATTTACCCCACTGTTTGGAAAAAAAATCTAGAAGCTGTGGAGCCTTACCTTGCCACTTAATACAGGAGGATCATTCCAACCAGATTCTGGCCGCATTTCTTGGTAAGATGGTAGATGTGGAACTTGGACAGCTACCAGAAAAAAAAAACAAATGACTTAAAATATAGTGTGATACTATTTTGTTCTTTTCTGGCTATATCATTCAAAATAGGAAGTAAATATTTGTTAATTCATTTCTGTAATAATAACCGTGTTAGGATGATGTAACTCATACACCAAGAACAATTGTTGATGGTTAGAGATTGCCATGTTCTAAAAACGTTTTCTAACATAAACCTAAGATATTTTCACAATAATTTTTTACCTGGAGGTGGCTGCTGGTATGTGCTTGATGGTTGTTCTCCTGGGAAGCCACTGGAAATTTGGAAAAATATTCAGTGTACATGTCTATATATCAAATCTGAAATACATTTATGAACAAGAAATTTTTAAATAACTTTAAACCAATCTTAATTAACACAGAAACAATGTGAAAGCACATGAAAATGCAACACTTGTACAAAATTACCTTCCTTGCTGAAATATTTAAGCTCAAGGGATTAATTAACAGTCTCAAAATGCATACTTAGTGGAATATCTGAGATTTTGTCTAACCTATTTATTAAAAGTACATACCCATAATTATATGCTGGTTGCCCATATGCCATGTGGCCAGGATTTGGTTCTGGCTGCATATAAGTGGGTGCCGTGGGTTCCACATAGGGCTGCTGGGTTGGATACCTCTGAGACAGAGGACCTGCTAACCAGACAATAGGACACCAGTAATAAATAAGTTGAATATGTCTCAATATAAACAAGCTATGGATGAAAATCATAATAAAAGGAGAAATAGATTTTTTAAAAACTTCTGTGTTACATCACTCTGATTGTTTTATTCAACACAATGACCAGATTTACACATTTCTCTTAAAGTTGCACAGTACCTCTAAAACCTTTACTATCATTCCTTATCAACACCCAAACTAATAATACAATTATCCTTAAACCTGTTATTATTTGGAAAAAAAAAAAAAAACTCACCTCTGGTTCCTGGCTGTACCCCTGTGGTAGGGGGTGTGAGGGGAGGTGCCTGGGACACTGTGTACGGTTCACTATAGGTGGGCTGGGTGGGCAGTGGGCCATTCATCCCCCTGGAGTACTGGGTCTGCCCTGACCCATAGTCATTGTAATAACCTGTGCTGGGAGTGGTCACTGTCTGGAACATGCCTCTGGCTGTAGCCTGGATGGCAAAATAATAAGGTTCAGAATACATGCATTATATCAAAAAAAAAAAAATTATATTTGTTTTCTACCCCAGGTACTTTCTCTTGACAATTCATAGCAAAATGAAAAATTTAGATTATTCCTTGCCGTAGAACTATTTATTAATTCGAAATGAAAGGGAAAAATGCTATTTCCCACAATACCTGTTGACCCATGCTTGGCTGCTGTGGCTGCTGTGGCTGTTGAACAGGCCGAGACCTTGGAGGATGGACTTCAATCTTCTTGAATGGGAAAGGTGGCTGTGCCATGCCTGGGATAGCCTGACCTAGGGCCCTGTACAGTCTGTCCCGTAAGATCAGGTGGGGAATCTAAACAAAAATATATATTAGAAACTCATTGATCAGGTCAAAAAATAGTTTGTTTAAATTCTTTATGTTTAGTAACTTAATTTGAAGAGTAGTACATCTGTTTATTTAGCAAGTTTATTTCGGTGACAATAATCATCATCTCAAAATCTTTGAAACGTGAAATCTTCTGAACATTATCATTTAAATTTTTTATTATCTCAAAGAAAAATAAACCCTGCATGACTAATGCCAAAACATTACCTCGTTTGAATTTCCTAAGTAGCCTAAAGCAGTAGCAAAACTGCCCTGGGCTGCTAGAATCTCTGCATAAAGGCTTAATTTCTCTGTTAGAACCCCACTGCGGACCTCTGGAGGTTGACCTTGGATGTTTTCTACAGCTTTCCTCAATACCATCACTTTTTCAACAAGGTCCTGTAATAATAAGTTTCATCAATCACAATTTCATCTCAGTGTCGAATAAACTATCTGAATATCTTTTTATATACATTCGACAATTTCAAAGATAATAATCCAGTTTATATTTTTATTCAGCCTTTCAAAATCATTCTTGATCAACTACAAGCAGTGATTAAACCTGAAGGTGCATACATCATCAGAAGCAAAAGTCTCTGTGGTTATTGAAAAGTCTAATCTAGCCCAGAAATGTTTCATTTTAAAAAAGTTATAAAGAAATGACAAATACATACACTTTCACAGACATAGCTGTACTTCAAAAATGAAAGGTTAATATATATTCACCTGAAGTCCCTGTGGAGAATTGGAGTTGTGTGTCTGTTTGACCCAGCATTCTACTAGATAGTCTATATTGCCAGAACATATGTAACATAAGATGGCATAGGCAGACAACTTCCCATGCTGCTCATTTTCTAGTCTAATACCAAGAGTATCTGAAATACAGTAAAACATTGACAATCAGCAACAAAAATAAATTAGTTTAAAACTGTGGACTTAAAATTACAATTTTATAATTAAAAAAAACTGCAATATGCAATATAAACAAATAAATAAAAAATCTCCTCATAGTAGATACCTAAAAAATAGTTTTCAGATGACAGAATCAAATGGAAGGAAATATGCCTTAAGAATATAATAACATTTAAAATTGAGTTTAAAAGCTTGACTTGCCAAGTAGGAAAATGACTGTAAATCCCGCAAACTTAAATTTAACTTACCACAAAGAAGAGGGAGTTCATCCTGTTTAGCATAAGTTAATATCACTGCTAAAGCTTCTTTCCAGTTATTAAGTTCACATGTCTCCACTATATGAGTCCAGTCTCGATTCACTACTGATGAGATTAACTAAAAGAAAAGAAAGGCAAAATGAAAAAATCATTTCCTCAAAATCTCTATAATACCTTTTTACTGGATGTATAATATTTAAAACTTATCCTGAGCTCTTTATCATACCAAATACATTTTAGGAAAATAGTTAAGAGACAGTAAAAAGAGTGAATAATTTCTACAAAAATGTTGTCTCATAAGCAAAAACACATTTATATTGTTACCAAATTATTCTTGTTTACAGAAAATTTTTATCTTTATATATCCCATTCTTTGTTCCACAATTTAGCACACTTCACAGATACGTAAATTCCTACATAAAAAATAAAGAAGAATATTTGGTGCTTTATCAATTTAAACCTTACCCTAGACAAATTGCCTCTATTTTTATGAAAGAACTTCTTCTGTGTCCTAGCCAGCAGCTCAGGGCCACCACAAATGGCAAGCAAGATGGCTTCTGCCATGCGGTCGTCATGGAGACACATTTCTACTGCAGCCTCAAAGTTCCCTGTGATCACAGACTGGCTAATCAGGCCATCCACATCTGAAGAAAAGAGTTCAAATATATGTCACTTATGAGTGATGAGGCATATCAAACCTTCCTACAAAAAAGATATTGGTCTGTCATTCTCAGTTGTATAAACTTTCATTTTATGTTGTGATTTAAATGTAACTTTTTCCACATAAATAATGACAAAATAAGACATTTTCACAAATGCTCTCTCTCTCTCTCTCTCTGTTTAGGATAAAAAGGTGAAGGTGCCTAGTAACTCACCATCATCAGAGGGTACAGTAAATGGAGACTGGGGCCTGGAATCATGCTCATGTGCTGCTATCTGCTCAAACAGAGAACTGTCAGACTCAACCTTGGGCAGATTCTGAAATAAATATTTTATTGTCACAATGCCCAGTGTAAAAATACATATCCCCATATCTTTATTTTGAGCAATGGCTAAATAGTGCTTACCAGACCTCACCAATTATAAGATATAACTTCTATTCTGGTACTGGTAATGCTACACCAGATAAATTGAATCCAACAATGCTAAAACAATGATTTATACTGATGAAAAAAAATGCATGGCTGATCATGTTTACATGTACTACAATTCAACATATACTAAAATGTAGTAAGACAAAAACTTAATTAGAAACATAACAATCTTTGGAAAAAACATAATCATGTTCACCAACATTGTTCACTTACAGAACTACAAATTTAAAGTAAATGACTATGACTGAATTACCTCTGCTTCCACATTAGGAGAATTTGACCCATTGGCAGTAACACCCTCCCCAGCGTCCTGTGCAAAAGGAATGATTACTAAGCAAACAGGTGCAAACAAAGCTGAATGATATGTATTGGTGAGAAACCAAGGGAGAAACCCCAGAGATAAATCACTGAAATCTTGTTATACACATTGTTACACACCAAAGGCTCATTCCAGCATCAACATTAAGTTTTATATATAACTCTTCACTGTTATTTTGACAAAAGAAAGTGATAAAACTTTTTCTTCAAAATTGTTTTGATTTGGTTAATAATGCTTGCCAAATCAATGAGATATAAAAGAAAAAATAATGAAGATTTCTAGCCACTGGCAAAAATGAAAAAAAAAAAAAAATGCTAGCATGAGCCAACACACTATGATACCAAAGAAAACCATGGATAATTACTTATGTTTAGATTAGGAATCAAAGGTTACAGAGAATTAGTCACACAAGCTTTTAATTGTAACTAATTCATATTGAATACAAAATTATAAAAAAGCTAAGCAAGGGAAATGTTATAGAGAAAAGATTAATTTTTTTATTGTCCATACAACAAATATGCTATAAGTCTAAAGAGAAAGTAAAACTCAAAACGCAATTTAACCCCTAACCACTGTTTTAAAACTAAAAAGTAGAGATATGCCACACTTAGTTAAGCCTGTGAATATGTATTAAGTCTTACCGATGTTCCTAGTCCAGACATTTTCTCTGCTAGTTCACTAGCATCAACTCCAGGTTCCTGGGAACTGAGAGCACTGGTGCCAACAGCTGAGCTGACCTAGATTTAAATAAAATTCTAGACATTTAGACAGGGTTCTCATACCTAGATAAATCTATCTCCAAGGGTTTTCTTGCTAAATTGCTTTCAGCTTAGGCGGCTTAGATATCTGGCATGCCTACTGAAGATGCTAAACAATAGTTAATTACCCCCTACCAAATTTATTATATCTGAGAAAATAAATAATTTCATCTGCCTCAAAATCATTATCATTTACAATTTAACTAATTTTTTACCTTTTTTGAGAGTTCATTTTGATCATATCCAAGTAAGTTCAAGAAACTTTTCCTTGGATCTCTTTCAAAATTGACCTGTAAAACAGAATGGTGGGTTTACTTTTTGCTTTTCTTCTGTTCACATGCTTAAGCTAAAAAATCAAAACAAACATTAAAAACCCTAGTCCAGACCATCAGAAATCAACTCTTCATAATTTTTATGCTACATCAGATGCTTTTACTTATCTTTTTTTCTCAGTAAATGAATGCCGTTTCCCTTCATAATCCTATATTTTAATGACTTTGCCATAAGACAAGTATTATCATTAACAAAAACTAACAAATATGACAAAAAATATCACCTTCATAAAATTCCAAATGCTTTCCTCCATAGGGTCTTGGCAGTTGGCAATTTTCATTGCACAGAATTCCTGAAACTGGCCTGCCCCGAGGGCACTCTCGAGCTGCGATGACCTGGCTACCAAGTCATTTTCTGTGACAACTCGGCTTATAAAAACTTGTCTCTGGACTGGCTGGTGAGCTTGCTGTTGCTGAGGGGGCTTGCTTGCTTCAAAGCTTACAAGACATCCACCAAACTAAAACAAAATGGAACAAATACAATCTGAACTGAAAATATAAAGATAATGTAAATGAGGCTCGGAAGGCATTATTAACATAAAAGTTAACATTTTTACATTACTTGAACAGAATGAATTCTATTTGCTGACTATAATCTTTATTATTATTATTATTATTATTATTATTATTATTATTATTATTATTATTATTATTATTATTATTATTATTATATAATCTATAATAACTTACCCCAAATGATGCACCAACAGGTCTACGTAGCCATTTTGGAGGTTTCTTTAATGTCACTGTCATTGCAGGTTTTGTTTGTTGAGGGGCTTGTACAAATGGGTCACTAGGAAATGAGTCTGCTACCTAAAAATTCAAAAAAAAATTCTTCAAGATTTATATCTGACTTAGTTTTGCAATACATATCAACTTGTAACAAAAACAATTTACAATGGGGAATTTGTACTTCTATGTGAGTTTACATTTAACAAATACCACAATAAAATGTAAAAAAATTAAATAAATAAATAAATAATATAAATAAATAAATAAATAAAAACTTACTGCATCAATCTGTTCAGCTTCCTGTTCCCCACCCATGAGTGAGTATAGGTTGATGTGTCCATCAAAGGAGGCACTGGAGATCACTGCAGGGTTCCTAGGGCACCACTGGATGTCAAAACACCACTGGCTGCGAGTTGGTACCTCACATACAACCTGGGTACAAAGGAATTGACAGGTCTATTCAGATTCATGTTCTTATTTTTTTAAAAAAGGGGAAAAACTCAAAGTATCTACATAAATTCAATCTCTTTCTGCTCCCGCATATTTTTCAATTCTTTATTCACATTTGCCTGCTAATGTTTATTTTTGGTTCTCTTAACATAATTTTAAAATCTTTTTTTTTTTTTAATTTTAAAGATTCACAAATTACTTTCCATTTTCAGTTTTACAAAGATTAACTATAAAATAGGGTTTAATAATGTATGTTTTTCATCTTTTTTTACCCACCTCTCCACCAGGCATTTCACTATTAGGATTCCAGCAGAGAATTCTGTTGTCTTTACCACAACTAAGTAGTAAATCTGCATCTTGAGGACACCAAGCTATAGACAATATTCCCCTAGAAAAAGAGTTTATTTGTTGTAATATAAACTTAAATAAAAAAAAATACTCAACAACTTTTCCTATTCTCATAATTTCTTCACCGTTCATTTATTGCAGGGAAGGAAAAAATGTACGTCAATGCAAAAATTAATTACAAATAAAAGAAATCACATGAAATTGCAACTTCATCAGTGAACCATTTGATTTCATATCATTCGTATTTTACCTCTGATGGTTCTCTAGTACTTTAAGAGGTGATGTTGCAAATCTCAGGTCCCAAAGTTGTATGACTGGAGTATGGTCATCTTCTGAAGACAAACACATCTGAGTGGCCACATCAGGGTGCCAGTTGACCATTTTACTCTTTATCTGGAAATAGAAAGGGTACAAATTTATACTAATGACCATCCATAATGCATATTTCCAATATTTTATTACATTACAGACAATATATCTTTATAATATTTCACTACTGACAACAACTAATGGATCTTTTCAAATATTTTACTCATGACTACAGACATTGCATCTTTTCCACATGTAACTATCGACAACAGATAATGCAACTTTTCAATACTGACTACTGACATTGCACTTTTCTAACAAGCTTCACACTAAAATTTATGGAAAAAATTTAACATCAATTCTAATATCACTTACTCTAGACATGCTATCACTAATCTTAATAATGGGATCATTTTTCCTTAAATCCCAAACCACACATCTTGCTGAGAAAGTAGAAGCTAGAATATGCTGGACTTGTTTATTCCAAGATATGCAATTCACATCATCTGCAGGCTGAAAATGGACAGTGAAAAAGTAATGATTAATTGAAATTGAAAAACACATCTTGATTTTTAAGGACAAGATGAAGGCTAGGAATGAATTGAAACATGTTCAAATTCCCTCAGGACTAACATGAAATACAAATATATTTCTAATGCAATTTATTTCAAGATATTTCAATAAACATTTTAAAATAACATATTATGATAAAGACTAGAAATGATCTTTCAATCACAAGGAATATTGCTTGTGTATCATACCTGTGACTTAGCTCCTGGAGTCATAGGGTTGGTGGGGTTGTTCATGTCCCAAATATAAATTTCTGATTCACTTGCACCTGTTGCCAATAGGTTTTGCTGCAATACACATAAGACACCATGTTTACTGATAGAAACTTAGAATCACAATAAGTAACTAAATTATCAGGTGAAACATATTAAATAAATTTACTTTCGCTGATTCTTTATAGTCAAAAGGGAGCAGGTATAATAAAAATTCCAATTAAATACCTGGAAGGGGTTAAAATCTAATGCAGCTACATTTCCAGAGTGCTTATCCATTGTGAACACGAGTGGATCCTCTTTTTTGATAAGCTTGGCTGGATTATACACCAGAACATTTCCCTTCTCTGCTCCTCCCACCAGCAACCCAGAGGCTGTCTCAGGGGATGTCATGCCATGACCACCCCAAGCTAGTTTGTGGAACCTATGAAATTATGTCAAAAAAAGAAGGTTAGGATATGTAGAATACTGAATAAAGTTCTTGTTGAATAATATCAATGTTGACTGCACTGTTTCATATCACAGACTTGTTTTTAAACTTAGTTTGAGGAAAAAACAACACCAACATAATACCAAAACTTAAATAATGTTGACCTTTTTGTTGTTTCTTTACCTGCATGATACTTAATGATAATCATTCAATGAAACCTGGATCAATTTTAATATATAAACTGATAAATCATGCCACTTATTTTAAAATAGTATAGTCAAATTTCACTTACTAGTACTTCATAATTTGTAAAATTGTGTTAACTTGTTAACAAATGCATAAAATAAAATTAAAGCAAAATAAACAGGAAATCCCTCGTTATCTTGCCATGCACTTTACAGTTTTTCTCTGTTAAAGACACCAGCATTAAAATTCACCAAAGCAAATAGCTTTTTTTCTTACCTGTATTCACTCTGTAGACTTCCAACCAATGGCATGTCCAGCCCTGGCTCTGAAAAATTGACACCATATATCTCCAGCGCAGCAGATGTACTGGAAGAGAAAAAAAAATGACATTTACAAACCCCATTACAAACTTAAAATGAAAGCGTAACTTTATCATGAAACCTTACAACTCATTCATACTGTGTGTAGTTTCATGACAGATGTATTTCTGTTATAAGAGAAATGGTAAGTTTATTGTAAAACCTTAGAACTCATTCATGCTAAGTGTAAACTCATGACACATATATTTCTGCTACATAAGGGATTATGATTTGTATTTTCAACTACTATTCACACTAGACAGATTTTATGCAACATTGACCATAATGACATCTTTTCCATACATTTAAACAACACACCAGTTGTGATTCAAAAAGAAAGTATTCTCTTGAGAGCATATGAATGTATCTAGATATGCAAATGTCATACGAACAAAGGGTTATTTGTTCCATTCTTTAAACACTGCAATGGTATACGTATCCCTGTTTCTTATTCAAAGACAAATTACACAACTTTGCCAAACAGTTTTTTTTAACTATAGGTCTATAAAGCAAAATAACACATAAATACACATGTATGTAAAATCTCATTCAGTCTCTGAAATGTATCAATATGCGGCCTATGCCTAATAGCATTGTTTCTGTGTATTAAATGCATGTATTTCTAACATATTTTATGAAACATTATCTGGCTGCATGCATATACAACATATTTATCAGTCAGTGCCACTAACATGAAATAATGCTTACCTGAAAGTAGCATCCAACTGCTGAGCTGCAGTGCCAGCTGCCAGGTATATAGGGTGCTGGGCAGGTGGTGACCAAGCTATGTTGGCTGTGCGTTTGATTTCTTTTAACTTCATTTTGATGGATAGTTCACAAATTCTTCATGGAAATAAAAATGGAATTTCAAATCTGAAAGTAATAGTGCAAATCACTATACCTTGTTCAAGTCAGATGCAGTTACAATATTTATGTTTTTGCTCAACTAATTGCACTATCTTCTAAATCCCTTTCAAGATTAATAAACAAAAACTATATGCAATCAAAAGCATTTCCTATGTCAGTCTCATGAAATTTTTTTTATGAAATAAATGTCAAGGATTTACAAAAAAGAAAAAATGTCTTAATTAAGGCATAATTAATTATACTTTTGTGGTTAAAACTATTCCATCGTAAAGACTGGGACACCAGTTCACGAGATGCAGATCATAATCTGGCGTTTCAATCAGCTGATTCTACTCACATTGCTTTTGAACAACTATGAACCTTTGCAAGGATACCTACAGGCTACACTGGCTAGCTAACTGGCTACAGTAAAAATATGGCCACTGACCCAATCAATCCATCAATGATCGGGATCTTCAGTTGAGCTTAAATGGATGAATATATATATTAACAATCAAATTAAACACATAGTACCTACTTGTAAAGCACTTACTTGATAATGCACGTTTAAATCAGGAAAACATGCCAACATAACAACACTTGCGTGTCAGTTCGCCGGGTACGTGGCTTTCACCCAGAATGCATTGCGATTTGCGTGTAAAGTGAAGAATATTGAGAAAATATTTAATTTGAAATTTGAACGAAATATGGTTGTTTTTGTACACTAAATCAGCAGATATTTGACTGTCATCTTTTATGTGCATTAAAAGATCCTTATGTTACTTAAAAGATTAATTGAATTACCTCAATCTTTCAACTTGGAACGTGCGTATTACTTTATTTCCGGCGAGGTTCACACCGCGAGTTTCGCGAACCAAATATATTATATGGTGTGGAAACCTTTCTTGACAAAATGCAGGAAATTGTAGCAAACGTTTATAATGTCAAATTTGACATTGAGATTGCCCTAGAACAGCAACTAGGAGCACACCCTCTTCCATTCCCTGGAATGGATAGTAAGTATTACTTGATTTGTGAATCAATGATGTGTGAATCCCCAAATGGCAATTTTAAAACCTGGTAAAGGTTTATTTAACTGAAACTCGTTATTATTGCTGTTTTCAGTATGCTATTTAAAAACTCCACGGTGAAATACTGTCAAGGTTATTCTTGTTACCTATGCGTTGTTATAATATGAAATAAAATATATATATGTTATATACATGCAGGGGTAATCTCTGAGAACATGTTATCAATTTGGTCTTTTTTTTCTTTCTTCAGAATCTGGGTCAAGTATTTGTATGTTCTATTTGAGGAATGTATGTAATAAAGGAACAGCTTGCCCATTCCGTCACGTTAGAGGGGACAGATCAGTTGTCTGTAAACATTGGCTTAGAGGACTGTGCAAGAAAGGAGATGACTGTGAATTTCTTCATGAATATGATATGTCAAAAATGCCGGAATGCTTTTTCTTTTCCAAATTTGGTATGTGATGCTGTTTGGTCATTTTGTTATGTTTTAATGCTAGTAACTCGCACACTGAGTCTTTCACTCCCTTAGGTGATATCTTTAAAAAAATGTATAAGTTGAGAATTTGATCTGATTTCTTCATTATTTTTGTACTTGGGTATCTGGTCAGCTATTTCAAAAAAGAATGACCCAATAAATAACTTGTCATCCATTGAGGTATAAATTTTTTTAGGTGCTTGTAGCAACAAAGAATGTCCATTCCTACACATCGACCCAGATGCCAAGATCAAAGATTGTGCATGGTATGACAGGGGATTCTGCAGACATGGTGAGGTTTCCTTTTAGAAAAATAAACTGTGACACTTTTAATATGATAAAAAAGTTGTAAAGTAATCAAATTTATCGAGACAGAGTAAAAGAGAGATTTAAAAAAAAGTTGATGAATGGATGAAAGGTTACAAATAAGATAATATTCTCATAAATAATATTGAATATATCTATTTCAGGTCCAAACTGTAAAAATAGGCATGTGAGAAGAGTTCTTTGTAGGAATTACCTTACTGGATTCTGTTTGGATGGACCCAAATGCCAATATGTTCAGTACGTCCTTCTTTCAGTCAAATATTCCTTATAAATCAATAATGCATCACAATTCTTTATCTTAAACTGATTATGATTTCAAATATTTTCCTTTTACTGATGGTAATTACTGTTTTGAATATTTAATCATTGAAAGCAACACAACTTAGTACCTTTGTACATCAGTTTGAAATAATCAGCACATCTTCTTTTGTTTCAGTCCCAGTTTTGAAATACCACAGGCAGACCCGGCACTGCAGGCTAAAAAAGCCAGCATAACATGTCACAATTGTGGAGAAGCAGGGCACAAGGCTGTGAATTGTCCTCACCTGTCAGAAAGTATGAAGTCTGAGTTCTTTAGGGGAAATCAGCAACCAGTAAGTAGAACTGAACTACATATAAGTCAAAAGGAATGTATCAGAAACAGAATTAAATGAACACAATACCAGAGCTAAGATTAAGTTTTTCTGGTGAATTTTTATGACTTATGTGTCATTAATGTTTTTTTTAAGTGGAAAAGACATTATCGCACACCAATCCACATAAATGGTAACTAGACTTTCCAAAAGGTAAATTTATTGTTTTGGGCAGTAAGAAAAAAAAACAAAACATTTATCCCACATTCTGATATAATGATGCCAAAAGACAGATGTTTCAAGGGTGTTAAATAAGCATTGATTTGTTTGCCTTCAGAGTGGCGGAGGAGATACTGGTCAAGGTCCTCAACAGTTACAACAACAACAACAACATATGCAGAATCAACAACAACAGCAGCAAGGAAATCCCAGGTTTGTGCATCCTCATAACCCAATGCAGAGGAGACCACTGGATCAGGTTACATGTTTTAAGGTAAGTTTAATGCTGTTTTATATCTGTTTTTTATTTAGAATATGGTTCATGTACTGTTTGATATGTGTCTTATTTAGAATACGGTGTGTACTGACGAAATTTGTGTGACAAGTCTCGATATTTTAGACATGTCTAAAACACAATTTTGCTCAACTTGATGATTTTGAAGATGTTGTCATTTTAATCATTTGAATGAATCACAAATTTTCAGAGTGCACTCAGTGCATCACATTGGTTGAGAAAATTCTGAATACATACATACATACTTTACCATTGATTTACTTCATGACTTTTTTGCAGTGTGGAGAGAAGGGTCATTATGCAAATAAATGCCCCAAAGGTCATCTAGCATTCTTGAGTTCAAGTAAGCCGTGAGCAGAAGTTTCATCTGTTGAAGTACTTTACAGAGAGAAAACATGCTGTCAAGTCTCCTGTGTCTACAGTTTGGACTAAGTGGGTCATTACTTCATGTAATGCACAAAGCTCATAATCAGTTTTGGAATTGGACTTTATAGAAAAGACAAACTTTAAAGCAGAACTAATGGTTAGAGGATTATGTATATGGCTGTGTTATTGCCATTTCAATTCGATTAGTCCTTAGCATTTTTAATGCTTGCTTAACAGAAAACGTATTCTTTCCAAACACTGGTTGCTCATTATAATTTATAGATTTGGGAGTCTGTCTATCTGTGTTTATCAATGCTGGATAAACGCTCAACCTATAATACTTTAGAATATTTTATTTGGTGAGGCATGTCTGTTCTTAATGTGAACATTAATTGTTCATATATATATATATATATATATATATATATAATTATTGGTACCAATATTATTACAAATCTTTGTTAACGTCTATAGATTTATGGTCTGCTTGCATTTCTTGAAAACCAAAGATACAAATACAAATATTCAAGAAAAACTTTGTGGTTATTTCTATGAATCAAACAGATTGCAGTATATCTCATATTCTGATGGATCAAAGACAAGATTTTACCAAAATTTCACTTTATTCCAAGTTAGTTTGCACAAAATGTGATGCAACATGCACAGCAAAATCAATACATAGAAATATTATTAAAATAAAATTGTTTATCTAGATACATGACATGTTACCCTATTGCATGAGGATCAGTAAGAAAATATCAAGTTTTAAGTATAAATTTGTAACAGACTAGAGAAATGTATAAAATAAAATATTAAACTTTTTAATAACTGGCACAATAGTAAATTCAATTTCACCATAAAAATAATAATACAGTAGTTTACTGTTAGTCTTATCTTTGATCTTTTGCAAAACTACAGCACCAAACCTCAATAAAATACAATATACATATCTGTCTAAATTCCACAAATTTTTAAAAAGCAATATTACTGCAAAATGCATTTCTTTGCTTAACACGCTGATGCAAAAAATTTGGTGGTAACTAAAAGTTTGCTTATAAACCACCATGTTTGTCATAAATCTATGCCATTTATTACAAACTACCCTCTGAAACAACCATGCATGATAAAAATTAATATGACAAGAACCTCTGTATTCATTCGTAACTGTTGACCCTTTTGGCAATTTTAACAACTTGTGGTAATCCTTATAAATTAATGAAAATCTACAAACAAAAACACTCAAATGTTATTTTAGTTCGTTTCATTTTGAATTGATAAAAATACACAAGCATCTTTATAGTGTGCATTCCTTCTCTGCATACCTAACACTCACTAATATATTAACTTTTCCTATAACTAGTGCAATATTTATCATAATTTCATATTTTTCCTTCGCAAGTACTCTATATATATTTATATATTGAAAAAATGTAGAAACATGCATGTTGAAAAAAATGTGACATATGACAATCTCAGATCATAACTTATGTAAAATATGCTAGAACAAATAAAAATAGGACGGAATGCTACAGCAGCAGCAATAAAGCATTAAAACTAAAATATTAATAACTGGGTATAAAGTGGGAACTATGCAATCAATAACATGAATTAAAATAATTTCAAAGAAGATCAATTCTATCATAATCAGAAAACAGTTTGATATTTGAAATATGAGCAAAAACATTAACATGATTACAGCAAAAGCCAACAAAATAATTAGCTTCACTACACATGGCATTATGATAGTTAACACTTAAACTTGCAATATAATTGAATATAACTCTACTGTTTTGACTTTTAACTCCACAAAAAGCTTTCTTGCATAGTCCACTTGGTCCTATATGCTTCATTTCACCTACTTAGACCTAAGAAACCAAATACTCAACAATTTGATCTCAGTTGACTCGGTTTATACTTCAAACAATTTGATTTCAGTTGACTGGTCCTTGTAGACTTGCAAACAGCAAGGCAAATAAATGAAAAAGAAAATTAATAACACAATGGCAAGGTCTGATGGTTCCTTGAGTTCTGTTTTACGCTTGAAATATCAGTGCCTTTTGAACAGTACATTCTGGTGATGAGCTTTCTGTAAGTAAATAATACATACATATTTTAGGGCGCATGTCAGTATGGTTCTTTGGGAGTCATTCCCCCAACAAAATATTGATAAAGTATGATAGCAAAGGTGTTCTGTGACTTGCTGCATTCTTACCACTCGCATTTTAAGTAATTTATTATATATATATCCACTTAATTTAAATACAGTATCATTTATTCATTAATACTTAAAATGTCTGTGCTTAAATGGTGAAAGGTAATTCTGCTTACCTCAAACTTTGTAATAAATTGAGCAAAGCTTGCAAAAATGTTGTTTGCATTGGAGTCCTTTGGATCTTCTCCAAAGTACTTCACCATTTCATTATATTCTTCCAGAGTTGAATTCTGAAGACTGAATAAAGACTGGATTTCATCTGAAGCACTGGAAATGAAATGCTGATTTCAGAGTTGAGGAAACAACTGAAACATTTTTTATGCAGGTGAACTCTTGCTAATGACTTTGTCCTATTAGCAGAATGGCATCAATCAAATTTTACTTTATTGGTCACAATTTGATCCATTCCATGTTCCATGTTTCTCTGCTCCATTAAATCTTGTATCATCCTTCCACAATTTATTTCATATTTTTAAAATCTTTCCTTCCCTCACTCTCCCATCCACCCACTTATAAAAAGGCAATTGCACCTAACCCGTATTCTATTTAACCAAATTGGTAGATCGGTAGCAAAAGAATTAGCATTAAGTTTCATGGTGGATAAAAGATGGTTCAAAAGAGTCCATAACCATTTCCTAAACTATCTGCCCCTCCCCTCTCCAAAACAAAGAAAAAAAAAAAAAAAAAAAAAAAAAAAAAAAAAAAAAAAAAACTCTTAAGAAAGGATACTCCCATGACTTCTTGGAATCTGTCTTCACAGCCCATCATCTGTCTCTGTGATCCAGCCTTTGTCACTGCTTCTGAGATATCCTGTAGAGGGTACAGAGAACTTTATTACAAAACACTTATAAAAGCTTATAAAATATTAAATACAAGATATGACCAGATGCATGGCAAAATGATAATACCATTCCAAGACTATATAATTATTTGGATCTTTGAACAGAATCCCCTGCTGAAGTTGCCAAACATTTTACAACTGGAATCATTTAAAACCTTTATATTCAAGATCCTACACTGATAAATATTTTTCAACATTTAAATATGCACTCTCATACATGTCTCCAGGCACAGCTATCACACACTCAATTCATCTGCTTAAAAGTACATATTATTGAAACATTAATTGGTAGTAGGAAGGTTTGAAAGGATCATACCATTACTGGCATAAAAGATGTCAAATCGGATGAATTAAGAATACAATCAACCGGTAAGATGCACAGCATGCCATAACAGTAGAAAATATTCTATGAGCCAACAGAGAATGGAGAGTAAGAGCTCAGTCCCAATGAAACATTCATTCTATAGATCAGTCCAACTCCACAGGGATTCTCTCTGAATGCAACCAGAAAAACATATTAACATGCCCAATACTGACACTGAGAAGCAGGGGCGGAATGAGGCTGTCTTCTGGGTCTTCTGGAAGACGGTCAGATTTTTCAAGTTTTCATGGGTATCTATTTTTTTTTTTTTTTTTTTGGAAGACGGTCAAAAATAGAGAATGGATTTACAAAGATACTTTGGAAGACTGTCAGAAAATTTATCTGGATCCGCCCCTGAGAAGAATACAGAAAAAGTTGGTAATTATAGGAGAACACTGGAAACAAGAAGGGGCATGTTAATCTGATTCCATTCAGCCAGAGTCCTTGTGGAGTTGGATAGATTATGTAGAATGATGGTTTCATTGGGAATGAGCCCTAAGTCACAAGGAAAAAATTGGATTGGAAAGCTAGGTAAGTTAACAAAAAAAATATAAATATATATAATTACTTTCAATATTTGTTTCTATTTTCTGACAGATGACCACTGCATTTCCTAAGTTTTTTAAGTATTTTTTTTTTCAAACATTTAATACATGCACTTTTACAGAAGGGAAGAAAACAATTCACACTGAAAGGTTATACTTTACCCTGATCTTATCAACAATAGATTTAGCATCCTACATATAGAAAAGTGGACATTGAATATAAGATGGTATAACATAGGCCATCACACTAAAAATCAAAATATCTACATATGAAGTGAGAGAAAACTCTATTAATTCTACAGCCATAAAATGTGGGTTCTGCCAGATGAGCATTTCTAATTAAAACTTCAAACTCCATTCAGCCATTATCAGGCAAACAAATTTTATGAACCCACCTGAAGAACTTTCCTCAGCTCTGCCAAATCTTCAGATATTGTCTGTTGTGATACTGAAAAAAAAAAAAAAATTCTGAACTGTCAATTCTAAATGAGCAAAATGCAATATAATATATAATTTATATAACTGCACTACATACAAATCCCTTTAATTGTCTACATTATAGACCATGTCAATATAGACTTTTTGTCTAAGCTGCTATCAGCAACTTTTTCACTCTTACTCCATAAATACAATTTTGTCCTCATAATCAATTTATGAATTCAGTTTAAATGTAAAAATTGCTTTCAATATATTACTGTCACAAAAAGAAATAAAAGAATGACAAAAAACATTGAATACCATTAATAAAAATTATAAGGTAGCACATGTCAGGATTGGACTCAACAAAACATGCAATTAAACTGACTTGATGAAATACTCCTCCAGCTTGATAGTTTACATAGTTCATTTCTATACAATATTAAGTAAGCAGATTCTAAATATCATTTTCTGTTTACTTCATGCTTTAATATGACTAACGGGCAAGCTGCCGGCATTGAATAAAACAAAATGAATATATGTCAGTCATTTTGTTTCAACAGAACTTTAATCTGCAGCAGATAAGGAAACATCTTTTCAGCATGCAAATAAATTGCCAATGTGCGCAATTCAGCTGCACCTTTGGAGGTAATAGGAGAAGGGAAGGGTAAACTTGACTTGCTCTAACTACACTTGGCCAAAGAAAGAAGTCAATATTTTGCTTTGGCAATATTCAAAGAAACTTACAGAGAAGCTGGTAATATAATTGCTGGAACATGCAAATCACTAAAATGGTGTCTACATGTAATAAGCAAAGCAACCTGAAACTAAGAGCGCAAGGATTGTAGTTGTGTTCTTTGTCTGATGACATTTTTAAGTGCACTATAAATATGCAGGTGCAGCTAAACATTATTTTCAGGACAAAAATTATAGTAACTCTATACCTGACTCTGTCACTGAAATATAGAGCAAACTTTATTCTCTTGTTATGTTTAACATAAAATAAATAAATGAAAACGTGTAAACAGAAATGTAGAATATTGTTTTCTGCAGTAATTCTGAATGCAATTCATGACTATGTTGAAGGTTACAATATATCTAATGACAATATAGCTTATAGTCTTATGCTTTTTGGCGTTACAATGAAAGCATATACTGTGGGACAGTTAACAGATTAACAGATGAGGAGAGCCGGTCTGAACCATGGACAAACATCATATCTAAATGAATATACTTCATAACAAGCATCATAACTAAAAAGAAGTTGGGTAATAAGATATTTTTCTCAACTTCCATCATCTCAATGCAACCTAATTGGCCTGCAATTTTTCTCGTAAAAGTACAAAATGTAGAATTATGTCTTTCAACAAGGGACACATCATTTAAGATATGACATCTTCTCATTTGAACTTTTGAATATGTAAAACATTTTTCATAAAGTTAACAAAACTTAGATGTTCCAACCTTTTGCGGCATCTGGCACAGAGGGCAACTCATCTCTCATCTTCAGCACATCTGGGAAATTGTCGTGGACAGCATTGGCCAATACATGCAGGAATGTGGACCTGTTGTCACTGGTCTTGGTGATGTCAAGCTGGAATTACAAAAGTGCCGTTTTGACAAAAAATGTCAAAAATCCATCAAATTTGTAAACAGTGAAACTTCCTTAGTCAACCTAAGTTTGAAACCAAAAATTGACTTTCGCTGTTATCTTTTAATCAGATATTAGAAAACAAAAAAAAAAAAATTATAATAAGTTTTACCTCTGTCAGGAACTTAATCCTAAAAGCAGCTGCCTGTCCCACTCTCTGGTTGCCTTTATTCAAATGGTTTCCCATAGCCAACACAAGCTGAAAAAAATTTCCACTGATGACCTCATCTTTTTCTGATGCACAAAATACATTAAATATTCTTTTAAGACATATCTGTTTATCTAACTCAAGTCTTTTATAGGACATACTATTCACTTTCTAATTTTAATTAAAAACTAAATGCTATCAGAATGGTTGCTAAGTGTCATGTCCTGAGGACAACTAGTCAAAATGTATGGTAAATTTTAGTATTACTTTTTTCCAACAAATGAATCATGGTTATAAATAGGTGTTCTTCACATACACATACCTCTAAAACTTTTGCTAGTTTTTTACTCTGTCGTAATTCTTGAGATGCTTTTTTCATGCATTTTAAACTCTGAAAGATAACAAATACACATTTATGTTTTCAGATTCCAAATGAAGAGGTCCAGACACAACAGAATAATCCACAATCACATTAAAAAAAACAAACAATGCTCAAACAATGAAATCAATCATGTCTATCTGTTTCTGTGTCCAGAACATGTAGCTCATTATCATTTGTTATCAGTTTTTCTTTTATATGTAACAATTTAATGTACAGTAGACCTGACACTTCCCATCTAAAAATCTTATTGTTCAAATATACAAAGCTAATGAACTTTTTCAGTAAGTACTTAGTGCTCATTAGATTCTAAATCATCTTTAATATGTATACAGAATTTTTAAAAGTACTGCTGACAGCATAAAGATGCCAGCCTAAGGTGTTATCCTACTTCTTTGACTTCCTCCACTTTTTCGGCAAAATTCACTTTGAAAAGTAATGCCTGAAGTCTTTGTTGAAACCCTGGGACTCTGCTGATCTATAAATACAAAATACATTTGTCATTTCAGTCAAATGAATCGGTGGAACTTGCAAGAAGTAAATGTACATGTTGATGGGCTATTGGGATGAAATTGCCACCTTTGATGTAAAAGGCAGATTTCAGAAAAACTGACATCATAGATTAACCCCAAGAAGGGGTTTTACTTTACTGTATGATCAGAGTATATAAGGCTGTATGCATTTTTTTGCTTCACACATTTGGTATAATTTTTTTAGAGCTGGCACAAACTCATTGTAAGTGGATATTGTTTTAAACAGTATTTTTTAAATACCTGGTAGCCAAACTGATCTGGTTTACTGAGGCTGCTTACAGAGCCAGTGTAGGCATCATACCGCTCCACCTTAAAGACAGTGTATAAACATCAGTTTCACATTACGAATATTGACATAATCATCTACAACGTCATCATAATTGTTTTTAGCAGTACAGTAATTACTTGATCTTTTCAATGGGAGAAAATGGTGATTTTTACATATACTGTATTTTTTAAAACATAATTTCTTAAATGAAGAACATTCCAATTGTGTGATGGCAAAAATAGTAAAAAGCAGGCTATTCTATAGTTATATTCTATATAATAAAGGAACAACAAATGCTAAACAAAAATTTGATAATTTTTATGAATATATCTGACAGTTTGACAATTTTTGGTCATGGAAAACATCAAGTCATTACCATATTATTATAGTTGTGTTATTTTTGCTATCATCATCATTTCTACTCCCTAGTTTTAAGCTCACCTCATCAGAGTTAGGTGCATAAGCCAAGAGCTGCCTGAGCACCTCTGGCTTCAGGATGTTCTCATCAATGGAGTATAAAGCATCACGAATATCTACAGCCTTTCTCTTCATATGGCCCAACAATATAGCTGTGGAATAAAAAAAGTCAGCGTTGAATTGGCATCAGGATTACTTTGCCCAATACATCATTTTCACCAAATTCTATCTTAAGACTTAAATACTATACAAAGACTATACAAAGACTTAAATACTTTTATTTATCTGTAAAAAATTAAGCAATTTGACTGAAACCAAAATACAAACCACAGTGTTATTATTCAATAATGAAACTATATATTTTTTTCAGATTATGTATAATGTCTGATTGGCCTAATTTTATAGAAATTATGAAACTACTCTATTCCTGCCTAAAACAAGCTCATCAATCATAGTCCCCCACCTGATATGCATAAAAGCGTTTAGAAAAGCTCTTTCCTTCAATATGTTATGTGGCCAAACAATTTTCACGGTGCATTAAGATAAACAGTAAAAGAATATCCACAATAAATTCGGCAACCAAGAGGTGCGGCAACATAAAGATAATTGCGGTAGTATTTATGCCGAAACATCAAAATGAATAGCCCCGCCGTTCGAGCCTTTTAATCAGATTCAGATCAGATTAACCAATCAAAGCAACGGAAAGGGGGTCACGTCACCTTCCCACCAGGCCATGCCATGTAAACAAAGCAGCATGGTCGGCTGTAATGAAGAGTCTGAGGAGGGAGACGCGAAATCTTCGCCAAATTCTCATCTTTCGTGTTGCATGCACATAGAAGAAGGTAGCTAATTAAGAGACTNTGCTTTGCCAAGCCTTATGTTTTATTTTTCCAGAGTTCAAAATTTATTATCCATTACCGTACTGCACATTTTGCTTTCACCACCAATATGTACTTTTTGATACAGCGTAACTCGAAAACCGTATGGAATACAAAAAAACGGTGACCACCTCCAGTGTTGGGCTTTACATGCTCTACAAAATGCAAAAAAGAATGGGTCTCTAGCATTAACGGTTCCCGAATTAGAGACAGTTTTCAGTTTCGGTATCTTATGGCCGCTACACCCGTGAAAATGCACCGATTGACCCCAAATTCACACAGATGAAAGATGACCTGAAGGGTAACATTTTCCAATAATATTATTGGTTAAGTCTGTGTGGTGTCTGAATAACAGCGCAAATAAATTTTTTTTCGTAAAAAAATTCATTTTTTTGAAAATTTTTGCCCGTTTGACCTTGAAATAAAGGTCAAAGGTCAAATCCAAGGGCATATTTGAAATCTACACATATGACTTTTGGAAAGCTATCTGTAGAAATTTTTCCCATAATTCCTTCCGTAGGGTAGATAATTAGCATTTAATTTTGCCATTTTTGGACAAGGGTGCATTGCAATGAGTGCCACACCTAGACCCCAATACCGACAAAGCCTAAATTTTACATGGAACGAGTTGAGATTATAGGTGACCTAAATCCAAGAGATGGGTATGGGGGCCCTTACCGTCTAGGAGGAGAAGCGGTAACGGTAACATGGCGGCGGAGCCGGCAGAGCCGGCGGAGCCGCAGGAGCCGGCGGAGCCGCAGGAACGGACCGGACGGGACTAAAACCATGTGTACCGCCAGCGCTAACGCTGGTGGTACAATAAAAGCACAACTTAAATTTTCATAATTATCAAATATCAAACAGAAATCAATTTGGCATTTTCATTTAATTGGATTGAAATGTATTACTTTCACATGCCAGTGTGAGCCTATGTGCCTGCCAATCATTTGTTCTTGCCCTGCACTCTAAAGGGTGCCTATTTCCTACAAAAGCAGTGAAAAACCAGTAACTCACATTCACCTGCCCCCAGATTGTATTCTTGATGTTTGGTGGCTCCACCTTTTCCCAGTTTATTCTCTTCACATTCATTTGGGGAGTTTCCTCCGAGCGAGCTGAAACGAATTGAATAAAATTGATATTAATTATGTCCTTATTGTATTTTTGGTAACCTAAGATTTACATTAGAATTTTATTTCATTTATGTGCACTTTTGTTAATCAATATGTCACTTTGCTATTAAGGACAATACATAGAAGGGGTGTTACTTGTAACTTTGAAAACTGCATATTTTAGAGGTTTTCACTATAAATTTTAAGCCTCAAACCACCTAAAGGACCATATAACATATATCTATAAGGTGTTGAGGTAACCTGATTTTTCAATATATATCAAGATGTATATCTCAATGCCAATCAGTAAAAGTAACCATGTACTAACCTGTATTTGGAGGTGGTGGTGGTGGTGGTGGAGGCGGCGGGGGTGGTGGTGGAGGAGGGGGAGGAGGAGGGAGGGGGGGCACACTTGGTGCCAATGACAATGTATCAATGTCTGAGATTTCATTGGCTACCACATCNGGGGGGCACACTTGGTGCCAATGACAATGTATCAATGTCTGAGATTTCATTGGCTACCACATCATCCAATGCCTTCAATGCATGCATAGCCTTGGAGTTGAAGGAATCCTGAGAGCGAAGACCTTTGCCAGATTTCCCGTTGGTCAAAGTCTCATCGCTTTCATAATCTACCTCTAAAAAAGGATCCATCCTTCTCCCAGCCTCACCACCACCCATGTTCCTTCTTCTGTGCCCTCCGCCTTTACTTGTTGGGTTATCATTATATCCAGAGTGCTCATGCCCAGAATTATCATGATTATCATTATGGCCATTCTGTTTTGAAGTGGGTATAATTTCATAGCCATGTCGAATTGGTAGGCCGCCATGTTGCTGTATCTGAGCTTTGCCCTTGTTGGCTACTTTATGCAGTGCCTTGTCCTCGGGGTCAAGGGTCAGTTCTTGGTCTTCAAAACCATAGGATAACCTTGACACGTGACCTGTTTGGCACTCAGTGTCCTTAACTATCTTCACACGAGGAGTCTTTTTGTGACCTGTGGTGGTAAAAATCAACACAGTACAACACTTAATTGGACAGATACTAAGAATTCTGTCTACTTTGATGATATATGTTTTTTTTTAGGGGGGGGGGTAGACTTCATGGGTTTAACTAGATTACTTCTGCATAATGAAAGATTATCCTATATATTTAGATAGCTGCAGTATCAAAAGTTTATTAACAGTGCATACTAATTACAATGTATCAGCACCTACAATATGTTGGTGCCCTCAATGCCAGCTGGCTTAAAAGGAATTGATAATGATGACCATACGTCACTTTCTTACATAGCCTATGTTAAAGTAAAGCAATGTGCACATCTTACAATGATCCTTCTGGTCATTGGCTCATTTCTCACCTTTATGTGAAGTGTATTCTCTCTCCTGGGCAAAGTCAGTACTGTCCACCTGGACCCCCACAGAGAGGCCATCTTGTGTCATCCTGTAGCTAGAGGTCTTCACAGGTCCAGAGTAGCCATTCATCTTTGATTTTGATCTTCTTTCTACATCGTAGCTTCCACGAGAAGAGAGTCTGCGAGTTGGTGAACTGGGTCTGTGGTGACGTGGCTGGAGTGGCGGGACTACCGAGTCGCTGTCCCACTCTGAGGAATCAGTCATCTGGAAATATAAAAAGTAATTGGGTCATTTAATAACTTATGCAATTTTCTTCAATCTGCACATGGTAAATGAAAAAAAAAGTAAATCGTAAATTACCAAAGGAAAAAAGAATTAATGCAAATTATGAATTTAGAACTAAAGAAACAAACAGGTTTATCAAAGTATATTGTTCAACACTGAAGTAAAAGACATTCATGAAACCCCATTTTCCCTTATTTTTATTTCATACACACTTCTTTATTATTATTTTTTGACACTTATTCTTAACTAAATTGCAACAGGATAAATCTTACCTCACGTGGTGATTTCAATAAATTTGCTGCTTCACCCACTGAAATATAACCAAGAGAGCATTATGGAAGGTGTGCTAGTTTTCATTCAAAATGAATGTGTAAAATTCTAACACATTAAGATAGCAAAAAAACACTGAAAAAATGAAAACCACTAGTTGCACAGTTTTCTTCAATCCATGTTAACCAATTCATAAACATAGTTCAACCATGCAAAGCAAAACAACAAGTAATCATCATTTTTTAAAACTAGAACCTCTCATTAATATTTCAATCCTTCACAAGAATCAAGTGAATCAAAAAGTGTTCAGTGAATCAGCCCAACAAATTTACAGGCAAACAAACAACACAAAAGGTGCACAAAAAGTGCAACACCGTGCATACCAAAATTAAATTCATCACCCTGGTTATAAAAAGTGACATCTCCCTCCTTGGGGGCAGCAGGGAGTGTAATCTCTCCTATATAGCTGTCCATTGGAGTGAAGCCCCTGGGGACACCAGATGATGCACTACTGTCTGACATATAATTTAGGTCTTCCCCTCGTGGACCTACAAAAAAACAGGCAATTTGAAAAATCTGTTTCCCAAATTTATATAAAAATCTGCTTGGTGAAAGTAAAATATGATCCTCTATAAGCAAGAAAATATATTATTAAGAAGGACGCCTCAATGGTTTGTCAAAATTTAACTTAGTTAAAATCCTATCAAAAAACTTTGAATACAGCTGATTGTAAAAGTAACAGAATGAAGGGGGGAAACATGAAACAACCTAGAAAATGACATAGATGACAAAATATTCTGAAAACTACTTTAAGGTTATGAAAAAAGAAAAAGATGGAAAATGTCTCAGAAGATGCACCTACATGTACAACATGACAAATGTAAAATGAATTTTCCTTACTTGGTTGGTCTGGTGTGGGAATGTTGAGTTCTTTTCTACAAACTTCCTGATGTGTTTCTGATAGCAAAGGCAATATGGAGTACCACAAGGCCTGTTTGGATGGAGTGTCCAGAATGGCACACACATCTTCCATCAGGTGGTAGATGTTCCTGAAGAATATGGTGATTTCAAATTGACACCCTATGATTATTTGTTTAGTCATTTAATTTTTTTATCTAGAATTTAATTTTTAAAATAAATTAAACTGATTACACATTTAAAACTGAACAAAACTGTTTGCTTTTTAAACCAAAATTCTGACTCTGACCTTTCATAACATCACATTTTTTAATTGAATCTCACTTTGCTGATTTTCATATAAAGTTCATTAGAATATGTTATATATTCCATTCCAAATATTTCCTTTCAGTATTTTTCTACATTTTTTATTGACTCAATTATCAAAATGCATGATATATTTACTCGTTAACATACCTCTTTTCTGCATATATCTGTAAAGCTTTCTTCAACAGAGACCTTTCCCTGGATGTCAGCAGGTAGTCTAGCTGCTGTTTAAAAGAGCCCAGTGTGGCGTTCTGATTCATGTCGGCACTACCCCAACCCCAGTCAGGAGGAACTGGACTGTGGCTGGGACCAACTAGAACACAGCAGAACAGGTCATAATGGACTCAAAAAGATGAATAACCTGGATTCACTTTACAATATGTAATATCTGAAATAAGCTTTGGTTAAATGCAAATTCTTTTCTATTAATACAGCTAAAAATTTTGCTTAGATGAAATGATAAAATGATGAAAACCCAAAGCAAACCAGCTAATCCAAAGAATGTGAGAGTGAATCAAGGCATAAGAACATCCGTATCAAAAAGCAGACATCAGAAAAAAAAACTTCAACATGTCTTTCCTTTGGTTTTCTCATTGGAACTCAAATTAGTACCAAGGCATTCTAGCATACTTAGTAGGCATTACAACTAGCTTATTTGGGATAAGTTAAAACTTAGTAAAAGTAAGCAAGAGAGGCACAACACCCATAGTTAGTAGTCTAGCTTACTTCCTAAAAAAGGCTTTTTAACATTGGTTTGTTGTTGAGGTGGTGGTGGAGGGCTATCGTCTTCCCCATCCAGAGCATCTATGAAGGAAACCATGTTAGGTTTGCTGCCAGAGACACGGCTACTACTACTACTTTGTTGCACAACATCTACAGGGAGAAGAACACACGACTATACAGAGAAATCTTAAGACATTTGTAGATATTTGTGACAACTGCAAAGCATCTTTCTGCAACTGACTGTTGGACAAGTTTTAAACAAAACAAAAAATTCCTCAAAAATGCAGCGTGTTAATTATTACTGATCAGAACTATTAACTAAACTTTTGTGCCTCATAAGATTGCAATGTCTTACGGAATAAGAAATTTGATGCTTTGCATTTGCCTTTCAGTTTGTCAACAATATAAAACAGGATAGACACTTTTTAAATGAATTGTTCGATCAAATTAAGGGAAACAACTGAATGATTTGAACAATATGGGAATCATTCTATTATATCCTGTTTTACATAACATCACAGGTATAAACCCCCTAGAAGTTATTCCCATCACCAAAGAGTAGAAGTAACAAGTATTTGCCAAACTAATTACTTAGCATTTGGCAAAAATCTTTGAATTATAATCATAAAGTTAGTTCAGATAAAAAAGGGACATTAAGTAGTTAATTCGATTTGAGGTCACACAAAAAAAGAACAAAACACCCTAGACAACATGAACCTTCCAAGTAACAATATAAACTGGATGCACACTATTTCTTAAGAACCACAACTAATTAGACAACAATCACAACAAATAATCAGTTCTAACATATTCTAAAACATACCCATCAACAAATGCCTAGGGACATCTATCTGCTTGATACAGTAGTCTTGGTGTGCCTTGGACATGATGGGGATCACAAACACCCACAGCGTTCTCTTGGATGGAGTGTCCAGTAAAGAAGACATCTCCTTCACAAACTGTTTGATGTTTCTAAGAAGATTGAAGAAAATCATAAGTAAAGATTTTCAAATTATCTGGAATCATAACTATATTTTAGATGTTCTGAAATCAAGAAATATTCTATAGAATTTGACAATTACATAGTTGTTAATCTGTATTTTCTGGAAGTTGACCGCCCATGTTCAAATGGTAACTGGCATATCAAATGCTTCATGAAATTTCTTTTTGTTTTTTCAATATGCCACATAAAACAATGACAGCAGAGAGCATTGCAAACTCACTTTGTTTGGTTGTATCTAGACAGTGCTTTTTTCAAAGAAGACTTCTCTTTTCCAGTGAGCAAAAATTCAACCTAAAAAGAAACCAAAAATAAATCAAATGAAATATATAAAAACAATGAAAATGGACATCATTCAAAAACCATTCATAAAATACTATAAAACATCCATCTGAGCATCTTATTAATGAAAACTGTAAACTCTGCTTGATAATTTTATCATAGATAAAGGTTTATCAGTAATTTGTTTAATCCTTATTAATTATGTAACAATCCAACATGTGTAATTGTAGTAATTCATACTTTTTGTTTAAAATTCTTCCCCTCCCTGTCCACCACTTGGCTAGCCTCTGTCAGCCACCCTGAGGATGTCTGACTGGACGTGGAAGACTGGTCAGACATAGGGCGCACTGTGGAGACTGAAATTATTGAATCATGTGGAAAATATAAATGAAAATGATTCAAGCAGTTTCTCTGAAATATGTAAACTCTAAATATGAAGAGACTTCCACTTGATATGGATAACATATACTTTTGATTTTTACTTTTTTAATGCTGATTGTCATCTCTTTATTTTTTAAGCTCATTGTTCTAAACTAGTTTTGGAGGGATGTGGATAACATTTACTTTAGATTTTTACTTTTTTATACTGATTTTTATCTATTCATTTTTAGGACTATTGTTCTAAACTAGTTTTGGACTGATAAAAGCATTAAGAACGGTAATTTTAATTAAAAGGTATCAGTACAACAGAACTCACATCCATTCTGGTCAAACTGATGCAGAACTTCCAGTGTGGGAAAACTTNTCTTTACTTTTTTATACTGATTTTTATCTATTCATTTTTAGGACTATTGTTCTAAACTAGTTTTGGACTGATAAAAGCATTAAGAACGGTAATTTTAATTAAAAGGTATCAGTACAACAGAACTCACATCCATTCTGGTCAAACTGATGCAGAACTTCCAGTGTGGGAAAACTTCCACTGCCCTGTAGTAAACGCACTAAGTGACTATGGCTACAATGTCTGAAATGAAAAAAGTTTGAACACTGAAATATAATTTAGAAGACGCCGACACCAGTGTATTCCTAGACCTTGATATCAACATGCATTTGTATACAATAACTTTTTGTAAATAAGACAAAAATATACTAAAATTAAGAAATCAGAGAGTAAAGAAATATATTTACAACATCAAATTCAAATGTATTGACTATGTTGAGTAATTCAGACAATTATTAATAGTGTTGCATTTTCTCTATTCAGTGCATCTACTGGAATTATCTATAATAGAACACCAGAGTAGTGCTAGCAGTATTGACTTCCCAAATACTTCTCATATAGTTTCAGTCAATTTGTTATCATCTCTATACATTTACCTGACATCCAGGCCATTGAGTTTCAGTATACAGTCCCCATGGACCAGTCCTGCCTGGTCTGCAGGGCCCCCGGGGTCTATAGACTCCACATGTACAGGGTTGTGACCGCGGAGAATAAAGCCAAAGCTACCATCTTCAGGACGCTGTATTCTAATATGTCTACAAGGAATTGAATTACATGTATCATAAGATATGTGTTTACTTCTGAGCAGTTTAATAAGCCTATCATTTAAACTGCCTTAAATTAAAGATTTTAAAAGAATATGTAACTAAATATATTTACTTATAAGAAATATGGGCTATCTCTTTCAAGATGAAAATGTCAAATGTTATTTTTTTTCCAAAATTTTACAAAAAATAAAATTAAAAAAAAATTTTTTAACATATTTGACAAATGCTTCTTCCATATCAATCATATCAACTTTCAATCAGATTAAAGTACTACAAAAATTTTAAGTGGAAAATAGTTTTTTTTTTCTCTGAACATATGGACCTAAGAATATCTGACCTTTTGTTAATATTCATTCACATGACTAGTTTCAATGAGTAGAACAGCGGTACCACCAAACACATTGATTACAATTTCCTCCTTTGTGATTGATGTTTTAGTAAAACTTTTGCATAACCACTGTTCATGTGCAAGAAACAATTGGATGGCTTAATTAACTCCAAAGAATAGTATCTGAAGGTAGAAATTACCATCCACTCAGCAAGAAATCAATAAAAATGTCAATGAATTAACTGCCCTGCTTTTAATTATCTTAAAATTTGTCCTGGTCCCTAAAGTATAATAAACATGTGATACTGTAACTACAGGTTTGTTCACAGTGGAATACAAAAATAGACAGGGTAAATGTTATATAGTCTAAATATAATTTAATATTTAATATTATAAGTCTTGTAAACAACCCATCACTCCTTGATCTGTGAACAGGCACAAACCTACAGTCAGCAGAAATCTATAACTGACATTATATTTAAAATAGATCCACTTGCTTATTAAAAGTACTTTCATGGAAAGCATTAAGTCTGAATACATTCTGTGCATCTGTGTCCAATGTGAACAGGCCACATACTGCACAGTAGCAATATTACTGTGATACTGTATGCTGAAATCATTGATACAGTTTCCTGGACAATTACATACAATATAATGCATGTAACAGGAATTTTAATAATGGAACCGAAGCATACATAGTGCTGATGGTTTACCATGTCAGATTACAGTCTGAACAAGCATAGATTTTAGTTGCTGGCTATGGTTACTTAAGGCTGATGCTGGAATCCACAGATGATGGTTAACCAATATATTCCCTGAGACTAATTACACCAAACCTCCATTAACTACCTTCCAGCAACAATACCATGAGGGGAAAACATGTACATGTCACTTTCAGATATCACAAACAACATGCAGAAATTAGTACAACTCTTTGATATACTGGTAAGTTAAACCACCACAGGAGACCTAGACCTTAGAGCCAAAGGCCATATATTACATTTCACCAAATATATAAAAATCAATATGTACAACATGGTTCATGTTTCATGTTCCCATAAAGGTCATCCTACGAGTGCTAATATGCTTGACTGCACACGCCTATTGAACCTCAGCCTTAAATATTGCTGATAAAACTTTTATACCTATTGATAATTTACCAGTATAATAAACTCTGTTTGTAAGCAAAAACTTTAAATTATTTTTGCTTTTATGAAACTTTGGGGACAGTTCTAAATCAGCACAAATTTTCTTTTCTTTCTTTGTCCGGTTTAACAACATTATTGTTTTCTAACTTAAAACTGTATCTAATTGAGAAGTATTTTGTTGTGGGATTTTTTTCTTTCTGATTCATCTAAAGAGATGTTAACAAATATTCTTTATGGCACAAATGAATGAGTGGAATAAGTTTGTCTTACCTTGATTCTGTCCTAAATGTTGGAGATCTGGGAGAGTCTGGGTGACTAGATACATCACTTGTGTCACAGTCAGACATCTGAGGATCATGTTCCAGTAGCTGATCAAACCGTACTCTGTGCTTCAGTGGGACAAATAGCCTATGCATTCAAAATATCTTAATATAACATTTTGTGAAAAAAAGGGGTTAACTGCAGAGGATGAAAGAGAGAAAAATGAATAATTATTCTAATTTATTACTTAGTATCTTATTCAACATACATTTAAAATTTAATTCTGAACTCATCAAAGATGTCTGGTATTTCTGTGCTGCTTTTCACATCTGCTTTTTCTGGACTTTTTACATCAAATTGAATACGAAAATTTCCCTTTTTCTTTTTCTTGTAAATTGTACAATCATTAATGATGTGAGGATTTGGTAGGATACAGAGTATCATCAAGTATTACCTAATATCTCTGAGGAGTTTCCTGTGATGAGCAGTTTTCAGAAGTATGGCTAGTGCTCTGGCAAATTTGTCAACCTGTCTATCTTCAGCATATTGTTTCAGGACACCAACAACTGCCATCTTCTTCTCATAATCATTGCCCAGAACATCATTCATCTGACAAAAAGAAGCAGTTTTGTTATATATATATATATTAGTATTTCATCTTTTTACATATGACCTTGAGAGTGCCAGTGAAATGTCTTGTATATGAGCATTTATGAGTTTTTGGAACATACATGTATATGTATATGATGGAAATGGATTGACCTTGCCAACAACAACCATATACCAGAACAGATATTTAAACTGGGAAATATTTTGGTGATGAGCTTCAAGTTGCATGTACACCTTTTTTCAATCAAAGAAATGATTGAATTTTGCTGCAGTCATTTCGTTTAGTTATACGTTTTATTGCTACTAAAGGAGGCATTCTTTACATGAGGAGAAGCACGCAGACACGTACAACAATAAAACTGCAGGGTACTTGACAACTGTTGAAAAAGCCCTCTCAAATAATAGAAATCTGAGCCTCCCTTTGACCCTAAACAACACTAAATGCTAGGCCAACAATACATTTCATACTACAAGAAATATTGCACTTGTTACAAGGGTTGTGAAGCCACGGGGGATGGTAATCTTTAAGCTATCCTAAAAGCACACTCAACACTGCCCATTTACTGGGATATATTGAACATCCCATTTGAATTGTTAATCAACATATACGGTATTGATTTCCCTTCAGCTTATAAAAAATTAATACCTGTGTGAGCGGTAATTTCTGCAGTAGCACTTGAACTACTGCTTCAAATGCAGGTCAATAAATCAGCAACATACAGTAGTGAACAAAAAATATTCTTTTGGTGTTTAGAACTAGTCCATTGAAAACATGACTGCTAGTACACATGTAGTAGGTTTTGTGTTGTTATTGTCTTCCTACTACAGTTGTTCTCTTTTTAACTCAGTTCAGAATTGCTACAGGATAATTTTTTCAAAATGTTTATTCCATATCTATTGTCACTTCACTAGCATGTTCAAAAATCAATACATGATTATTAAAAGGATTAAAAAAAGGTCAACAGCTGGATACAACTGAAGAGAGATAAGTCAAAACAATACTTATTCTATTGTGTAAGAACAAAGACATTTATGGGTATTGACTTCTTCTATTACTCACAAATAGGACATTATATCCTTTGAAAATGAACTTGTATGAAAGGTCAAGTTTATTGTCATTCAAGTCTGATTGACTTTCACTCTTTCACATATATAAGAATACAAGGTAAATTACTGGTATGAAAGCAGACTTTTCTGTAGATTCTCAACCAGCAGAGAGTAGCTCAATGAATTTTAGTAAAAACAAAATCCTCAAAGTATTTTTTTATAAATTAAACCTAAATTTTCATTTAAAACATTAAATTGGGATAAAGGTTTGTGTTGCATTAAAATATATAAATAAACAAAACTTTCATTTCTGCTAATGATCAAATGCATATTGTGTTTCTTGGTTACCCTGAGAGTGCAAAAATGTAATTTCCCAAGATATCATACAAAAATCAATGAAAGTATTTAAATATCCACCACAAAATTCCCACAAGAAATCGAGACAAAACTTTCACACATGACAGAAAAATGTTTCCGAAAGAGTAAAAAAGTATAACATTACTAGTAGCCTAATATCACTATTCAGTGGAAAGCAAACAAAGCAAAGCAACTAGCACTTGCCAATGCAGGTTCTGTGCATGACTACTATATATGCTGCCAGTCCATCATGACCAATGTTATTTTATACACACTCAAACAAGATCCATACGGATAATTGTCAGCAAACCACTGTTTTAGCTAAGCTTTTGCTATCACCAAATCCCCTGTGCTCATGTTCTATTATAGTTTACATTAATTATAAATTCATCCATGCCCAACTTGGTAAACGCAGAAAATTCAAGTCCTACAAGCCTGAAACAATTTACAGAAATAAAAGTTACCTTTCCAAATAGTTCTTTTGCCTTCTGTACTCTACTTCCCTGAGATTTCATCTTGGTCTCCATAGTGCTTGTCTGCCTGTTGATAGGAATGATAGCCAAAGTGAGCTTATTCAACTGGGCATCCAGGAGGGGCTTGACCACATTGAAGTTGCGGATCTTTCTTCCATTTACTTCAAGAACTATATCACCTTTAAAATAAGTGATGGAACATTAATCAATATTTTAAGAATACAGGAAGTAATGGAGTAATTTCATAACACAATACTGAAAAACAAGAGAGGAAAATATTTAGGGCATACAATATAGGGACAAAAGAAAAGTCACATTCAAAACATCAGAAAAAAAAGGAGAAACATTTAAACAATCTATCACGCAATGTCATTTATGTCTTTTCACTTAAAATGTTTGCTGCATTAACTGCTCCTTTGCTACGCTTCCTTGATACATTCACTATATCTCGAACATGCAATACGTTCACTATTTACTGATTAATTATTGCTATGCTCACAGCATGGAAATAACAACGGCCCAGTGTCTTATCAATAAGTTATAGCATGTTATCTTTTTAAGTCTATAGGGCCAGTAAGTGCAAAGCTTCAAAATCTGACCACTCTTTGAACATTCTTTCATGTTTGAATGCCTGGCCTATCAGGCTGTTGTGAAAGGAAAGAGAGTTGGGAATTTTAGGGGATCATGTACTGCAGCAATAATTCAAAGCTTTAGCTTTACAAGGTTAAATTTTCTGTTCATGTCTGGTTTAACTTGCTAGAATTTCAAATGTTTAATTTTCTAAGTGTTTTACATGCCTATGATCATTTTTATGCACAGTGGTTTTATAAATGACAACTAATAAAATCAGACATAGATGTTTGACTTTTAATTTCTCAGCATGCATCTTTCACCCTCATTCACGTACTTCCACAATCAATTTCTTAAACTGAGATTGAAGTCTAGAGTCTGGAGTCCAATTCCTGTTGATCTGAAATCAAGTCACCATTAAATTTTAACAAGAAAGGATTAAAACAAAGAAATCATAATTAATCTTAAACTGGATTTTAATAGAAATGCTCACCTTCTCTGACCCCTGCCTGGTGAGCCGGTCCCCCAGCCTCCACAGAGGCCACCACAACTGGCAGAGAACCACGTAGACTAAGGCCATATCCATAGCGACGTGAAGCATTTAGTTCAACATACTGCACACATGACACCACTCCCAGGGCAGGGGGTGAAGTTCGACTGTGCTTGGCAAGTGTTTTCAAGGCCTCGGTGGAAAGGTTAGAGACATCATGGGAATCGAGCTCCAGGATCTGATCTCCTGCCATGACTCCTGCACTGTGGGCAATGCTGCCTCGTTCGACCCATACCACATAGCAAGGAGCATGGCCATAGATTGAAAAGCCATATGTCTCAGGCCAACGTCTGTTGTGTGAGTTTGAAGGCATTTTGATGTTTTGTTTTTCAAGTTCTCACATTAAACAGCCAGTGCATTTTAAAGTACACTGAGTGCATGGTCAGTGTTTTTGGAGTACAAGGTCTTTGAGGAGACACTTGATGGTTTATCTTCCATGGAGAAGCTTCAAAATATGCTGCAATGATATGAAATATAAAATATACTTTTTATTGTGTTAACGTAAGGAGTATTGGTAGTTTAATGAATAGTGACAGCAATAAGCACACATCAACATAGAATTTGGCCACTGGTTCTTGCATAGTTTTCTGAAAAGAATTACATTCAATTACTTGACAAAAAATTGAATCATAAAATCACTATCATCAAAAATGTTAAAATAAATATATGACAAGTGATAAATAACCCAAAAAGAGTAATGCCACTGACCTTGAGCCTATTTCACAAAGACTCATAAGTTTTAATTTGTATTTATTTTACACTGCTAAAACCAAGTTTTCAACTAAGTCAGATCAGATCTATACCAGCCTTCATATGTTAAATCCAATTTTTCACTGAAGTTATTAAGTATTACAGGCACCTGGCAGAGTTATAAAATTGTCACACTTTACAAAGTTTTAACAATGAATTAAATTGTTTTATTTTTCAGAAACATTAATTCCACATATTGTGAGGTCATGATTCATGGCACTGCAAGGCACTGATGTCAAATGAAGACTCTATAAGGCACTTTTTAATATCTTAAAAGCATACAGTTTCTTTGGAAATCTATCCACTGGGACGACAAGCATCACAATTCTAGCACAGGTATGTCAGGTCCACACATATAAGTTCTAACCCTTGATAATTTCTCTTATTCTAGATCCCACAAGTGCCATAGCCTGCAAGACATGTATAGATCTGTAACATACTGGCAATGACTAATTAAACCAAAGGGTGGGGCATAAAAGAGTGTCAATATAATCAATTTGTAGAACACTCATGGTGTCATAACCCTGTTATTAAACTTTTCCAAAAAAAAAAAAATTATATTGTGCATGTATATATTTGTATAAACTGGTATAGCTTTTGTATGTTTTAAATCTAACTGATCCCATTGGTACAATCTACAGGTGCATATACCTATTAGGTCGG